TCATTCCTCCTGCTGTACCAATCGTACCGTTTGCTTCTACAACTGCCCCGGCGGCAACCACCCCTCGCCTACGCCCCACTCGTCGACGACCCTCCAAACGAGAGATCTCCGTCTCCCCTCCCTCACGCAACAGCACTCTACGCTCCAAGACACCATCCCCGCCTCCGCAATCATCCTCCGTCACCATCGTGAAAACCGAACCCATTGATAATTTCAAATGTCGCTACTGTAAAGAATTCGGTCATCGTCACAAGAACTGCCCAACGTATTTCTGCCGCGTGTGTCGTAACCTCGCGCCAGGGCATCTTTCGGTCTTTTGTAAAGACCTTAAAGGCGAGAAACCTATCCCATTAGTATGGACGGATGAAGGCTTCTACGAGGCTCTCGCTAAATGGGAGGCTGACAAGGACGCCGCCTTGGAACAGATCTCTATCGAAGAAGATGAGAGAATGTTCGTTCAATGCGCAGGTGATCGTGACAACTATGACGCTTACGATAACTTTGATTGTTGAAATCGGTGACTTCAACGATAACAACGGGGTAATGTTACAGTCAAGTACGCCCCTATTCATTTTCTTTCTCTTACATCATTGTATTACATCACGATCGCATCTTGCCGTCGCTAGATGATCTATTCTTATCTTGACTCGTCTTATCTCTGACTCGTCTTATCTCTGACTCGTCTATCTATGATCTCATCGTACCGGCCCTAAAGTCGTTACCGTTCACTATATAAACTCGTCCTGTACTATGTAGTTCTTTACTTTAATCTTACTAGGTTTTACCTGGAACTTCCTTCGCTTAAGACCTCCAATCTTAAGTCGTATTGAACGTGATTCAAGTCGAGGACACTCTCCTAGTCTTGTCTTAGGAAACCCTGAACTTCGGTATACGCCGAAGCCTTGAAACCGACCTTGGCCGATTACTCTTATCGAGTAGCCATACGTCAGAACCATCCTAGTTCGTAACACTTGCGATGAGCATGATGATAGAGCCCATCACGAGCTGCATCTTGAAGATCGGAGAATAAGGGGGGAAGGAGGAAGCGAGAAGAAGCCCTCGATCTTCCTGGATGTCTTCTACAGTTCTATTCCAGTCCTTCACTAAACATCTGTATCGGCTTCTTCTGCTTCTACATTGACTCTTGGGGTTGCTTCTCGATCGTTCGCAGGAGGTTTATCGAGGAGGGAAGCTGAGGTCTCTAAATTTCTTCATCAGGGCCGCCTGCGTGATCGCCGCCTGTATGGAGCTGTCAAGAGGTGTGCGGAGTCGTGTCATCTGGGTCCAGATGATAGTCCTGCCTTGTTTCCAACAACTCAATAGCGCGACACACTTCACCACACTACAAAGAGCACACAATGCAGCATCTACGGCAAGCGTTCTTGAGAAGTCCTTCATAATATTGTGACGAGACGATACTGAAGCTGTCGTGGACATGTAAGCGTCCAGAAGGTGCATGGAAGTCGCATAAGCCTCCAGTGCAGTGGCATGTGAATGTTGACTAGCATAGTGAACCCAGCATAGACTTGCTCGCAGGCGAGATAGCGAGCCTCCGGAGACAACATTTGCTGTTGCCTTAAGATGATGCATTGCAGAATTCAGACTGTCAGTATCTTCACCCGCTCTGGTACCATCAAGCCCCAAATGATGGAATGATAGATAGACCTTAGCTAGCGACTTGTGGACTACTAATTGATGAGGATCATGTTGTGTCAACAGAGTCAATGCACAACGTAGGTTCTCTTGTGACTCGTCGTGGTCTTCTTTATTGCCTCGGTGATCAAAGCGGGAGGAGAGGTTGATTCGCAAGGTTACTTAATGACTGGGACCCGAGCTGTGTGACCAACTGGGCACAAAGCCAGTGCTTCCCTGTGAAGTGCGATAGCCTGATCCAAGTCTTTGTCATTGCCTCGATGCTCAAAATGGGGGGAGAGTCGAATCGCAAGGTTATTTAATGACTGTGACCGATATGGTGTGACCGACCGGGCGCAAAGCCAGCGCTTCCCTGTCAAGTGCGATAGCCTGATCCAAGTCTCTGTCGTTGCCTCAGTGCTCAAAGCGGGAGGAAACTTCACACGCAAGGTTATTTAATGATGAGGACTGATCTGTGTGACCGACCAGGCACAAAGCCAGCGCTTCCCTGTGAAGTGCAATAGCCTGATCCAAGTCTTCGTCATTGCCTCGGTGCTCAAAGCAGAAGGAGAGTTGATTCGCAAGGTTATTTAATGATGAGGACCGATCTGTGTGACCGACCGGGCACAAAGCCAGAGCTTCCCTGTGAAGTGCGATAGCCTGATCCAAGTCTTCGTCATTGCCTCGATGCTCAAAGTGGGAGGAGAGTTCACTCGCAGGTTATTTAATGACGAGGATCGATCTGTGTGACCGACTGGGCATAAAGCCAGCACTTTCCTGTCAAGTGCGATAGCCTGATCCAAGTCTTCGTCATTGCCTCGGTGCTCAAAGCGGAAGGAGAGATCATTCGCAAGGTTATTTAATGACCAGGACCGATCTGTGTGACCGACCGGGCACAAAGCCAGCGCTTCCCTGTCAAGTGCGATGGCCTGATCCAAGTCTTCGTCATTGCCTCGGTGCTCAAAGCGGAAGAAGAGTTCATACGCAAGGTTATTTAATGACCAGGACCGATCTGTGTGACCGACCGGGCGCAAAGCCAGCGCTTCCCTGTCAAGTGCGATAGCCTGATCCAAGTCTTCATCGTTGCCTCGGTGCTCAAAGCGGAAGGAGAGATCATTCGCAAGGTTATTTAATGACCAGGACCGATCTGTGTGACCGACCGGGCACAAAGCCAGCGCTTCCCTGTCAAGTGCGATAGCCTGATCCAAGTCTTCGTCATTGCCTCGGTGCTCGAAGTGGGAGAAGAGTTGATACGCAAGGTTATTTAATGACTTAGCCTGATCTGTGTGACCGACCGGGCGCAAAGCCAGCGCTTCCCTGTGAAGTGCGATAGCCTGATCCAAGTCTTCGACATTGCCTCGGTGCTCAAAGCGGGAGGAGAGTTGATTCGCAAGGGCATTTAATGACGAGGACCGATCTGTGTGACCGACCGGGTGCAAAGCCAGCGCTTCCATATGAAGTGTGATAGCCTGGTCCAAGTCTTCCTCGTTGCCTCGACGTTCGAAGCGAGTTTGCAGCATTTCACCCAGATTACTCAGCAATTGCCCTCGGAAAGCATGCCCAGTGTTGTAGTATCCTAGTGCATCATAATGAAGGGATATCACTTCATCTAAGGCACGGGGATCATCTTTCTGCAAACACCACTCTGCTTGATGAATAAGTTGATTCAGCAATAACGGAAGCATGGGTGCGGTGGGCCGCTCCTGCCCAAAATCATTTGCATCAATGCTTTCAGCAGAATACAGGGCGGATGCTTCGATTGCAATCAAAGCTGCTCTGTAAATGTGACTGTTGGCATGGCAGACATCAAGGACTTTTCTCAGTAACTCTCTAGCTGCATCGGCATCCGTTTGAAATCCCCATTTTGCGAAGCGAGATTGCAGAGCAATGGCAAGATGGAGCTGGGTGATGGTTCAGTCCGGGTGATCAGTGGGATGCAAATCAAGGGCATCTTGAAACAGATTGATAGGGATATCAAGGTCAAGGTGTCTTCTGTCAGCTTGGCAACTGACAAACTTTGCGGTAGCTAGATTGAACAGTGCTGCAGGGCAGTAGGGATGGTCCATGGGGCAGAGATCCGTGACGCGTTCAAAGTGGTTTATGGATTGGTCGAGACCCCTACTGTTCTGCATCCTGCAGTATCGCGTGAGAAAACGATGACCAGCATCCGTCTTCAGTGCTAACGCATCCACATCGAGGGATGTAACCTACGCATTACAAGCTATCAGTATCAGAATACCAGACTGCATTGATCACTCACAGAAGTCAGGGGGCAAAGAACTGCGGCATCATTTTCATTAAAAATTCGCTGCTCCACTGTCATGAACAGTGCAGTACACGGGGATACGACTTCCCCTTGCTTTGGCTGGAAGATTATGGCTGTGATACTCGTTAACGTCCATCAGATGTTATTTGCAAAAGACGTTACTTACGATGTGAATTTTCACTGCGATCCAGTAATTCTTGGACGGAGATCTCAAACGTGCGGACGATTTCTCCGTGGCCGAGCATCGGATTCAATTCAATTGAGGCATACACGCTGACCCAAACTTTAGAAGATGGCTCACACAGCCTAGAGTCCTTCTCAATACGTGCCGGAAAGATGAGATTAAGGACAACTTACAGAAGTATGGGCTCGTTCCATTCAATGACAGCCTGATCTGCGTGTACGGGTTTGTTGTTCGTCTGGAACTCAGTACCATTGGTCTTTACTATCACATGGAAACCAGCGGAGATGCGTCGGAGGCCAAGAGTGAGATCAGTTGCACGAATAGCTTGAGAGAAATTGTCAATACGAGCTGGGCGGAGATAAATATCACATACCAGTAATGACGACTTGTTGCACACCTGTGATGTGTGTCTTTCCCGGGCCCTGGGGTTGTTCCGGGTGACTTGGCGCCTCGCCCAAGGCTTGGAGGGTATCATTGAGTGGGTCTGGTATGGAGTCTGTCGCGAAACTAAATATCAGAACAATCACGAAATAAAGTGTCGCCAAAATCGCTTTGGAAAATCATCGGTACATACTAAGTGAAGATGTATGACACATACTATTGACAGCGACTTGTAGCATTTCACTGCTCACGAGGTTCGTCTGTCCTGGGTCCTGGGGGCAGTTCTGGGCTGCTTGGCCCCTCTCCAAAAGGTGTAGGGTATTCAACAGGGACGAACCTTGACATATGGCTGAGGGATTCAAACTAGCACTTGAGAGTAAGATATGTGCTAGAAGTCGCGAAAAAATGCAGTACCTGTGAAGTTCTGATGTATTATAAGCACAGCATGCATGTGGCACTAATGTCAACAGGACAGAAGCGGCTCGCAAGATATCAAGCCATCCATAGCCTCATTCACAATATGCATATATTTGTACTGTAGGAGCATGTTGTGTGGTGCGTGTTGATTGAAGCAGCCGAAATGGGCTCAAGAAATGCAGGGTATTCCACAGTTTTGCAAGAATTCGCAAGTCTGGCGAAGCACTGCCTAAATGTCACCGCCCTTGACAGATCCGACTACTGTCAGACAACACACTGCACGAAAAGGCACGGAACTGACAAAAAGAGCTATACACGTTGTTATTACCAGCCTCCAGGATCATAAAATCGAGCACGTGATGTTCTTCGAGGTTATAAAATGTAGCAGCCGGATCAACCCAGGGTGTGCTGTACAATGAAATGATGATAGTGGATGACTTCCCGCAGCATTTAGAACGCTATTCTAGTTCTAAACGTCTCATGCCGACGTGCCGCTGTCAAATGTCAGTCTTTTGCAAGTCCGCACGTCAAACTGACCCAGTGCTAAATTGATATCTAGAAGGGGGGACAGGATTCCCTTTCTAGATTCAAATCGTGTTCTAAACATGTTCTTGATCGGCTGCCGATGAACAGGAGAACGATAATGAGTGCTGTGTGACTGATGCGGCAGACCAGAAAACTCGTCGAGAGGGTGACGACTGGAAGCATGATGGTCAGCGTGATACAGACTCCATAGAAAGAAATTAGGCTCCAACCTGTTTCGAAGTTGCCGTGGCATGGGCCAGTGCAAATACATTGCATACGCTGGAAGTCGTGGTCATGTATGAGGCAAAGGTTGTCCGCAATGGTGATTTGACCAAGCGGGACAAGAATAACAAGGTGGTGGTAATCAATACTGGACAAAAATTATATGGTTAAGGGCCATAACGCGTACTGGAGAGATAAGTATTGGTACGCACCATTCCAAGGGAGGAGAATCGCGCAGCCTAGCATAAAGTAGACCCACCGTATTTGACTATCAACAACCTAGGCCTCATCAACGACAAAGCGGTCTGTTGCAGAATCATCGAATGTCAGTTCAAGTTCGCCGTCGTAATCGCGACTGGTGGGAGAGCATGATAAATGACTCTGTGGTTGAAGTCTGTGGCAGCATGCTGCTAGGCCCTATTGACATAAAGGAGTTGGTTGGTTGGTTCAATAGCAGTCGATGTAAGGTGGACTACGAACGGGTGGTGTGACTGTAAAGCGAATGCAATGGAATACAACCAGAAGAGCACTGTTCGGTTGATATGCAAGCCTGCGAACTCTTTGCCTTCCATTTGCTCGCAGAACCTGCCAGACCAACTATGTATGTATAAACGACTTGCGATATCGAACGAGATTGTTGACACACCGAACATCATCTGCGTGCACTCGTAGCATGTCACATAAGTAATCCTTCTGATCGGAAGCCCGAACACGAACAAAGTGTGCTCCGGCGATAGTGGCATAATCATCACGACTCATGTAAGGAAAGTTCTCCACAACGTACCGAGCGTCCAGCCGGATACTGGTCACGAGCTGCTCGTCGAACTCGAGAGACCTCAAAAAACTCAAAGAACTTGCGTAAAACGCAGGAAGACACTACGGACGAGCCGTCATCAAAAAGCTCCTGATCCGACGACACCCACGATACAGGAGGCACGAGGACAGATGAAGTGGAAGACAAAAGAAGACGAAGCTGCAGCCATCGCAAGTCAAACAAATTGATAGTCAACAACTGAAGGATGAATTTCCGAAGAATGTGACGGCAGGTCAAGGCGGACGTTCGAGCTGACAAATCAGTGACAGATAAGGACGCGGGATCCGGACCGCCAATCTGCAAGATTTCTGAGATTCAAGCCAGGGCTGTTGCATGGCTGTGCAGAAGCGCTTTGAATATGGGTATGGAAGGGCCTATCAGCGTGATAGGCTGGACTTCATCGACGCATGATCGGACCCTTACTATCAAATAAATACCTGTAATCACAGAGGTAAGTATCTAGTTACACCAATTGGACTGCGACTCGAAATATCGTCAAGATGGTAAGTAGTATCGGGGACTACGAAGTTGTGTACATAAATACAGGAACAAACCCAGGACATATAATGGAATCATGTCACCATCAGGCACATATTGTACAAGTTGTTAAAATCTAAAACACAACGATTCTAAATACAATCAAAGATAGAACTATAGTATCGAACTCACCTACGCCGACTGATGGGCCTTAGTCCATCATCAAGTGTAAGGCACTGAATAACAGCGTGGGCTGGAATGTTGCGAATACACAGATATTCATGGTCGTTCATCGCTTCAGGTCTGAGATATGCGCCAGTTTGTTCAGCAAGTTCGCGCATCCAATAAATATTGATGCCTGCTCTTTTGAGCTGCGAGCTGTCGATCTTGGCAATCGAAACAATGCGCCTCCCCATCTTCACCTTATTCAAAGCATATTCGAGGGCCTTTTCACGTGAGGCCGTCACAGATAAAAAGGGAGTTCGACGTCGATTGCTCCAATCCATATGCAATTCTAATTGACGGCGGGCATTTGGATGGTTGCGGTAGTAGACAGCATTCGATATGCTGGCCACAAAGCCCGAGGTATGACTGAATTTGGAATAAGTCTCCTCATCAAACACTCGGTAGAGATATCGTGGGAGTGTCCTGTCTTGAGACATCGAAGATCTGGCTTATTTTAGAACGCACGACAAAGATACACGTGGCGCGCGGCACCTTAAGCTTGTATGATATGTTCAGTACTGTTCGTTGTGAGTGTGCAGCTGAGGTCACACGGCTGACTCGGTGTCTTTGCATACATGTAAGGATGGCACCTAGTTAGTCTCCCGCAGTCAAACCCTAATAGAGTTGTCACTCCTAGCTAGACCGTGTAGCTATTTTAACCCGCAGCTAAAAATGTCGCGTCAAGCAGGTTCAAACTTCATAGTCTTTGCCTTCTGACAAGCGAACTACTATTCCTCAGCGGACTGTACATTCGTTCTCCTCTTATCCGTTACGACAGATCATGGCGACACTACCTCGAGCCATCAAATCAACCTCTGGCTCGTCTATAATTTCGGACAACGATACATGTCCGCGTTCTGACGCTCCCTTCGATGCTGGAATAAAATCTTCCGGTGCATGGACAGAGCATCTAGAGTGTTACTCATTATCAGACGACGAGCCCGAACCGACAGATGGACATCATGAACTGCAACCCATCGAAGAGACCGTCAAAACAGCTCGTGCGCTCTACGACTTTGAAGGAAAGGCTGAATTCAAGGAACTGACCGTCGAGGCTGGAGATGAATTGGACATTTTGAAGGAAGAAGCCGGAGATGGCTGGAGTTTGGTGAGAGCGAGCTCTGGCGAAATAGGGCTGCTACCTCAGACATATTATACGGTGAGTTCTGATCATACTGATCGCTCGACCCTCGTACGCTTTATCTGGCTCATTCTGTCGGTGAAGTGCAACGACTAGTTTTCTTTCTGTACCGTTAGCCGTTCATGGGAGAAAGGAACCGTCTATCAGTACGATCACCCCCCCAGGCATCTCTCCAAAACCAGTCGAAGCCGCTTTCTATCGTCCCTCAAGATACTGGTGAATGGACAAACCCTCTCCCAAGTTTCAGGCAAAGCCTTCTTAGAGGCAAGAGTTTGAATCGGTTCTCCGGGTTCGTGACAAGTGGTGCAGAAGAGTGGGTTCTCGAGGGCCACGTCGATCCAGTCGCTTCAAGTTCATCCTCTTCACACCAGCGGGTCTCTACGGAAGACTCCATCAACGATGATAATAGGCTCAGTAGACTTGGGCTGGGGGAAGCAGACAGACACTATGTTGACGCTGACCTTACATGGCAATCTAAAGTTCCCAAGTTTCGAGTCTTGGTTCACTCACCTTCGAAGCGCACGTCGGGCCTTTCAGGAGCATATACCGTGTATAGTGTCACCTCACTGTTTTCTTCGACTACCGATGAATCATATGATCCGTACATCCCACCGATCTCTCCTGCCCGTATAACAGTTCAACGGCGGTTTTCTCACTTCATCGTGTTACATACTTCGCTGACTAGACGTCTTCCTGGCATTGCACTCCCGCCACTTCCTGAGAAACAGTATGCTGGGGCGTTCAGTGCTGATTTTGTCGAGGCTCGTAGAGGCGAACTCGAGAGATATATTGGGTGTATTGTGAGGCACCCTGTTGCACGATATGCTGAAGTCGTCACATCTTTTCTCGGTTGCGAAAGTGATGTGGTGAGCGTAAATGATGGGTTTACTTTTGCCTTCTAACTCATGTCCAAGGAATGGAAACGGCTTATGCCCCAATTCCTTTCGATGCCTGTTGCTGGGCCTTCATTCTTCGCACACGTTTTTCATCCCGCATTCAACGTAGATGTGGACGATGCCACAGAAGTAATCGATCGTTTCAGTCGTCATACTCTTGCAGTGGGCAAGGGCACGCAGTACTTGAGAAACATTTTTGGTCGCATTCGCGAAGTGAGACTAGGTGAGTACGGGTACGTCAGTTGTGCCAAATTATTATCATAACGTACTTCCCAGAGATGTCAAAAGCCGAACGATTGTTATCGTATTCATTGTTATCCTTGATTACATCGACACCTTTGTCTTCTGCTCCCCTGAACGGGATTAACAAGGATGCGGAGGACACGCCTCCACAGAAAAACGGCCTCTTGAACGAAGAAGGAGCTTGGTGTTGGCGTGAAGGCTGTCAAGGTGCTCACGTGAATGTCTGGAGTTCATGATTAACTGAGACATGACTCGAAGATTGTCTGAAGCTCACAAAAGCGATGCAGAAAACATCAGACAGTCTCCAGATTGTTGCAGACCTGTATGATGATCATGTCTGTGTCTTTTTCCTTATGCAAGACTCGTACTGACCGGACTCAGGCCCGGCGCACCCAGCTTGCGACTCACGAAGCCCTCAAGAGCGTTGCTCATCCATACCAATTGTATGAGGTATTTTGAATTGTTCGATCGCCGGCTTTGCCCTGAGTGTGATTATTTCAGGGAATCATTGAAACACACCAATCTACTGTTTCACGATATAAAGATGCCCTCAAATCGGGGAAGGTCAGAACGCTCGCAATCTTCGTGGGAGACGATGACCTGATGATATGTCCAGTCGAACGATGAAATGACCGCACGCTGCGAAACCGTCTTGAACACCACGATGGCTGAGATGGATACATACCACGATCAGAAAGTGGAAAATTTCAGCACAATAATGAGGGAGCATCTTGATGGAGAAATAAACTTTCACGAGCAGGTCCTGCATAGGTTGAAGGCAGTCCGGTGCACCTTCGACGCTCCGCGTTTTGACGAGCTGAGCAGGTCACCTCGTCAAGCTTCAAGATACGAACGGGATTTAGAAGCCCCAAAGTTGGATCCTCCGCCATTGCCACAGCCCTGTCCTCATGTATATGACTCAGCGCCTATGAGACCAGTGAATTCGGCAATACACGAGGGGATCGGAGCACTACTGGGAAAGTCCCAGCCTGGTAGGAAAGGGAGTCTTTTGGGAAGAATGTGGGCTGAATAAAGCACCTCGTGCGGTATCGAAGCTGTTACGATCACTTCAGGATGTTGCCAACGTGGCTGATTTCGTTGTATCTGATATGTTTCTGGTAGGATAGCCTGAGTATTTGATGCGGTATTGAAATATGTGTAAGATAATTAATACCGCTTTCCTCTGTTACATATTACTACTAAGTAAAAGGCATTTTCGAACATGAAGATTCGGATGGGCGATGTTGCTTTAGCCTTTATAATTAAGTGTCTTGCCATCCGACTTTTCAATTTGATTCTAGCTGAGATCAGGCTGAGTGCTGCACCCGGATCAGTGTTAAAAGACCGGTTGCACTGGAAGTACTGCCATTGCAAACGGTATGTAAGCACACATCGCGCGCCTATCCGACATCCATTACACGTTGATGTTCGTATAATAAACTGACAGCCATTAGATCCATACTCATCACGGCCTAGGTCTAAAAAATGCCGACTGTTGTACCACTCCCAACATATCCTCCTGCAAGCGCCAGAAAATCGTTATCAGCCTCGCAGCTGGCAACTTTCCACAGCAACTTATCAAACGCCCTCGCTGAAATCCTTGCACTACCTCCCGCAAGACGAGACACCCCTGCCATCCGTAGTTTTCTATCCAGCTACGTTAACGAAGTAGCCCATCAAACCCTTCAATCTCTGATCTGGGATGCCCCACCGTATACAGACAACCATGTACACGCACGCGTCCTGTTCCTTGCGGAGAAGCTAGCTACAGTACCGTCTTGCTTCGATGTGAAGACGCTCTTGGACGTCGCCATCGCATACTTTCCTTACCCAACCCGTGTCCGTTCCATTTTCATCGCAGCCCTCGCTAGCACACCAAGCCTCACCACTGTGTTCAACTCAGATATGGTTCCTGTGCTGAGCACCCTTCTCGAGCCGGATCGCTGTGCGGGTTTATACGGCCTCCGAAAAACCGCACGCTGCTTTATCAGCCTGCTCTCTGGTTGTACCCCCGAGCTCGTGCGTCCATTTGCGGGTGACCAGGATTTCATGACAGGACTGGCACAAGCGTACGAAGAAGGACTCGCTGCAATAGCACATTCATACGGTGGAATGCGTACAGACGTCGGTACGCGCGAGCTAGATGACTGGGAGCGCATCTGGCTCGAAACCAAGGTCGACTTCATAGACAGCTTCCACATTATTATCACCGGCATGCTCCAAGACCTCGCAACCGCATCCGGTGCAGCATTAGCAGCGGAGTCAGAACGGACGTTCAACATTATTTTTTCATTATTGAACATCCCGCTGCCAGTACCACTACCGGGCGGTACTCCTAGTACTGCTGCTCCTTTCCTCAACCGATCGCTGATAGCCGACTATCAACACTCGTATAACTTGTCTAGCACTCTTGCTTCTGCTCTACGTCGTGCTGCACGTGAAGACGCCCGAGTTGACCACCTTGAATCCACCCTTCGTTCCTTTGACATCGAATCTTCCGCCGCGGGGACTAAAGATCCTGGGGCACTGAAGTTGATCATCAAGTCATCTGGCATCCCGCCCGGCGCCTCTGCTTCTGGGAAGAGCAAAGCGGGGCAGTCTTCAAGCAAGGGCAAAGCCAAAGTAATCCGTCCTGAACCTGAGCCACATGATCTCGACGTGGAGATCTTGCAGGTCATGGACATCTTCCCGAACCAGTCGCCCGAGTATATCCGGGAGCTCCTCAAGCAGTCTGTGTTCAAGAATGCAGAGAAGGTCATTGAAGCACTGTTGGAGGGTACTGCACCCGGAGAGTCCTCTGTTGCGGAGGATGTCAAAGGTGCTCATGCTGTGTCCAATGAACCCATTGAGAGAAAGAATGTGTTTGATGATGAGATATTGGACGTTAGCAAGATACGTTTGGGGAAGAAAAAGTACGGAGCAGTGTTCCTTTGTATATCCTGTTACTCATTGTTCTGCTATATAGCCAAGACGAGGCATCAATACTCAGGGACAGAGTAGCCGTCGAACAGATGAAAGCCGACATTCTGCGACGTGCAGAGGCCATGGCTAACGCGGAAGAAGATGAAGACGGCGGCAAGGCTGCCGAAGTCGATCACGATATCGACTTTGGAGACGAGGTGAAGGTTATCGGTGATGGAGAGGCTAGCAACGAGGACGAAAACGATGGCGATGAGGATGTGGTACCGCCGATGAAAGTCATTCCGGAGACTGTTCTGGAGCTTGCGTATATCCGTGATCCGGAGCTGTTTGCTAGAGATGCTAATACGCGGAGGTCGAAAGCACGCACTGAGCTCAAAGCAGAGACCGGCAAGTCCTTTGTTGTCTCATTAGCTGTGTTGCTGAGTTAACATATAGGCTGGTCCGATGAGCAAATTGAGGGATGGAAGATTATGCTGGAACGAAATGTATGCTATTGTTGTCTTCGTAACTGGTCGGTACTGATCTTACATCACCCCGCGTCCAGCCAAACAAGGACAAGATCCTACAGAAACACGAGTTTTTCTGGGAATAGATTAGTAGATTTTTCAACGACTGGAAACGCAAGTGGCTCTGGGTCATCATCCCGCGGTGGAGATCATGGAAAGAGCAGGGGTGGGCGAGGGGCAGGCAGAGGAAGGGGGCGCGGTAGAGGGTCTGGAGAGGGTGGTGATACCAGAGAGCGAGCATTGAAAGACAAGAACAAAGCTAGCAGAGGAAACCACAATCGGAAAAGGGGACATGACAAGAAGATGGCCAAAGCCGGTCCATCTTAATGCATAGGGGCGATGGATGGAGATACTTTTCTCAATTTATGTGATGCGACGTGCGGTAAAGTACAACAGAAAGTTTTGTATATGCTGCTAGATAATCAATGTGTAGGCATGCTAGTTTCCGTTTCTTGGTACCGAGGGAAGAGCTTGTCGAATCTCGATTCAAACGTGAGCTCAATCACGTCGTTGACCAGTTGCATATCTATATCACTGGAATGAGAACGAGCGAGGTCGCATTATCTAGTGAAAACCATACCTAGCTCTTCTTCTGAATCCAACGGAAGTGTCGCCATAGCTTTTATTGTGGACGCATCTACCACACTTCCAATAACCTCGACATAGGTGGCAGTCACATCCACATTCTACCATCGACAATAAGAGTTGTGAAAAGTCAGGAGTGCAACAATCTCTAACCTTCCTTTGGATCTCTACCTGGCCACCATCACTCGCTTCGACGATGGCGATGTCATCTGAAAGCTGAATCGAGGTAAGTCAGACGCGTACGAGACAGACGTGAATGAAAATTAGCTCACTCGGAGGACTTTGCAAGGGAGACGGACTGTCCTGCCCTTTATTCCGGCAAGACGGGCAGAGTTGACACGCATTGATATATGTTCGTTCATGACGAGCTCGAGACTGAAATTTGGTGTAGTGCTATGTACTTGAAAGCGACGCGTCTGTGGCTGTGGTCATGATGATGTAGTAAACACAGGTAAACATATGCCGGTACAATGTGACGCTCCATTTGTGCTGCTCAATATTTTCTGACTTAATTTATTCATGCTTTAGAGGATCGGATATATATCCTGTATTCTGAAGTGGTCGGACACGATTTTTCGGACAGGACGGCCCTTGGGCTTTTGGGCCATGACAATTGCCAACTTCCGCACCGTTGGAGATACATTCAAACATATGTCAAATCGTTAGTAGGAACAAATACTAGGCAATCGTGGTTCTGCCGACTTCCGCCAACCCTCGACCTACTGCCGCCTGCAGCAATTGCCACTGGCAGAAATATTTCATTCTGCCAACAACACTATCTCTGCGATGTCGCGCTCACGTTCAATATCTGCCTTCATACACGCAAATAAGAAACGACGGAGTTTTGAGTGGGTAGACTGGTGAGACTGGGTTGGGTTCAGTTCGCCTATCCTGCATATAAATTAACGCGGGCGTAGCTTGTTCGTTGCACAATGTCAACTTAAGGTTAGATTGCTATCATGGAACGACTTTTTTTCGACAGATGGCCTGGCGCGTTCTATTCAATCTACCTTCGGCGATAGAAACTGCCGAAGTTGTTCCACCTTAAGTATTCGTACCGGCCTCGTGCAAGCCTCGTGTCTGTCTGGACAAGTATGATAAGATCCGTATACCCGCCCTACTTGCACCTTCTTGTCAAATCGTTTTCTGTTGTCTTCCCTGCAGAGTCATCATCGGCTGCACGTCGCATTGACATTATTGCAATCCATACATAAGTGAGCGAAGCTTGAAGCCCAGGGAAAACTGGACATGGCCAAAACGGCCAGGATAGTGTGAAATATTGTTTAGACATATAATTTATCGTATAATATTGTATAATCTTCAACGACACGATCGTCTGCGCATCGCATGGCAAAAACATTACATTTGCAATATTGTGTTGGTCACGTCGTCGAGCGTGTTTTCGTCAACACACACAATTTGTTCACGTCAATCTTACATCACTCCGTCCATGTCTCGATCACTACTTTGCATTCACACGTCACACAGCTTACTTACTCTGCAAAGCTCCACTTGAATTCCGATCACAAAGTTTGGGTGAGTTTTGAAACTACCAACACCCCAAAGTTTAAAAATGTTTGGGGAATTTCGGCAAAGTCCATTTCCCCTTTTCTTCTTACCACCATCTTCCCAACAGCCAGGAGTCCTGCCACCGCCTTCCTCCACTGATTCCACAGATATGCGTGTCTCGTGGATTCAGGTATACATGTTGTTACTGCTTTTCTTAAATGGCACTAACTTATTGTCTCTGCAGGCTTATGATCCACTTAGCGCTAGCTGGTAAGTTTCAGCTCTCGAACTCTTATTTTATGATCATTCATGTTTACTAGGAGCGGGAAGGGTGCTTATTGTCGACAGTAGCTCCGCCTCATGATTTTTCTCCGTCCTGTTGTCTTCAGTGTACTACTCACCTCCCTCACTCTTGCTCTATGCCTTTTTTGCTGCTGGATGCTCTCCCATCACGTTATCTTGCCGCTCCTCGCCTGTCTACATCATTCCTATTCTTTTGCCATTGCCTGCTGGTTGCTTCCCAATTGCCTGTGCTTGCTTGTCTCACTCCTCGCCTGTCCACCTTGCTCCTGTTCTTTTGCCGTTACCTGCTGGTTGCTGCCTGTGCTCGCTTGTCTCATTCCTCGCCCGTCCACATCGCTCCTGTTCTTTTGCTGCTGTCGAGTTTGCCTGCTTCTCACTGTCGTGCTGGTTCTATCATTATCATCCTGTATCGTATTTGCCTGGTCGCAGGTCGAAGCGTTTGTATCAGTAGATTATAGCATAATTCACCCGAATGCAACCGATTTTGTTGTACCACACGAACTGAACTGAAATATGATAACAATATTCTTAGCATATCCTACGACATTCGAGAAGATTGCAACAGATGCGAAATATTCTATTTGTCTCCACAGCGAGTCTCCTATACTGAAATATTGTGCTTCTAAATTCGTCATATTCCGCTCGATCTCAACCGTTTTGGCCATGTCCAGTTTTCCCTGGGCCCCAGGAACCGGCACCTTACACATGCGACACGTCTGTGGCTGTGCATGTAAGTGGTCATGATAATGTAGTAAACACAGGTAAACATACGCCAGTACAATATTAATATTGCTATCATGCTCTATCATGCAAAAGAAAGAAACCAGCCAATCAGGTGTCCGATTGATATACACAGCATGTACTCGAGATATGAAGTGGCTATGTGAAGATTGTCGAGTTTGCTTGTCCGCGACTGTACTACTCGAGATATGAAGTGGCTATGTGCGCCAAGCTTAAGCTTAAATATACGCTAAGATGCTATCCTCGTCCTGAGTTTCGAACGAGATCCTGATATCAGCTCCTCATATGCATAGCCCAGGTCCAGAAATGACATAGTCTTCCTCTTTTGCGATAAAGTCCCTTGTGACATGTGAAACATAGGCTGGCACCTCATGCAAGCGTCGGTAATTGCCAATCAAGGAGAGAATAAATATTACCACTGTGACATCGAAATCGATGTCTCTCACATCTCTAGATCTGCCATTAAGGCTAAGCATCACAAATTTAATGCACATTACATAAACGTACCAGCACTCACTTCAGCTTCCTTCATTCGAAGGAAGTCTCCAGGCCAAAGTCGCACCTTGAATTTCCTCCTTGCATACTTACTAAATAATCTGTGATCCGATGCTTTCAGGACAGATGCCTAGCTAAGGCTGTAACCAAGCTGTTCTCGATTTTTGATTCACTGCCTCCACGCGATAATCATTGGTTCCGTTTAGCTGTGTGGGCAAGATCACGGTTCAATCTGGACAAGTATGATAAGATCTGTCCACCCGCCCTACTTGTACCCCCTTGTCAAATCGTTTTCTGTTGTCCTCCCTGCAGAATAATTGGCTGCACGTCGCATTCACATTATTGCAATCCATACATAAGTGAGCGAAGCTTGAAGTTCCTCAGTCCACAATTGCTCAATCTTGTTCTAGGTCGCATCGGACGCACACGTTACCGCGACACCCTTCTCAGCAGTCCCATCCACCAGATTTCTCTGCACTGCATGGTTTTCTTCCTCGCGATCCCATTCGTGATCCCAGCCGCAGTGTCTGCAGTGTCCGCAGGGGTTGCAGCCGTAGCCAGCCGCCGCCCCGCGATGCCATTGGTGGTTTCAGCCGCAGGGTCTGCAGTGTCCGCAGGGGTTGCAGCTGTAGCCAGCCGCCACCCCGCGATCCCATTGGCGGTTTCAGCCGCAGGGTCCGCAGTGTCCACGGGGGTTGCGCTTGTAACCAGCTGGCCAGCTTATTATGCAAGAGCCAAGCAACTGGCAGCAGAAGAGGACAGCAAGGAAGATGGAAACCTTGGTGCAGACGGCGACCCTCGCAGCCTTGTCCAAGGCGGGCGAGGCCGAAGACAGTGCTAAAACGGCACTGAACGGTCTGGAAGAACTGCAACGGCTGTCTGCAGAAGCTAGTCGCAAAGCAGGGGAGGCGAGGCTCGCTATTGAGCGCAAATGGTTCGAAGGCGTTCGCCCCGAGTGTCGCCCTTCGGATGAAGATATCAGTCGCATGAAGGCCCAGTATCATTACAGTCCAGGATTCATTCACATCGCAGTCGTTGGCTCTGCTGGAGCTGGCAAGTCGTCCTTCATTAATGCTGTCCGTGGCTTGTCCAGAAATGACCCAGTGGCCGCTCCTACGGGAATCGTCGAAACCACTGACACTGTCATGAGATATGCTGATCCGCGCCAAGATTCTTGGACGGTTTGGTACGACGTTCCCGGATCAGGCACTCCAAATGTGTCTGATTGGCAGTACTTCAATGACATGGGTCTCTACATCTTCGACTGCATCATCGTGCTCACAGACAATCGTGTCTTAGATTCCGACCTCGCCATCCTCCGCGCCTGTAAGCCATTCAAGAACATTGAGACGTTCATTGTTCGCTCCATGTCAGACCAACACATTAACAACATGGTGTCCGAGAAGATGCCGCAAGGCTTCGACCCTTATGATCCAGACATGGACGCCGAAACACGTTCTCTTTTCTTCCTAAAGACAACAGAAGAACGGCAAAGGTTCATCGACGAAACTTCGCAGAATGTGCAAACGCACCTTGAGAGGGAAAAGCTCCTTCCTAAGAAGGTCTACGTCATTTGTGTGGACGCCATGCTTGCAACAGTGAACAAGATCCGCTCCTCAAAGGCAATTGACGAGGCAGACCTTCTGAGTGATATCAAAGGATTTGTGTTGCAGCGTCTGCAATCGGGGTGCTAAAAAGGTCAGAACTCTCATTCAATTGTCGATCAGATTGTTTAGTGTAATTCTTTCAGCCAGCTAGTCCTGTCTTGGATCCTGACAGCCCCCACAAGGCTTGCATTAGCGTCACCTTTTGTTTGCTGATTTAGTTCATTTTCTCGTCAGATATCACCGTACCTCTCCCCCAAGTGTGTAATCTTACATAGTATTGCGTTCTCGGAGTTCATGTTGTTATTTTTGTATTGATGTATGGCTGGAACGAACATGATGCGAAGCTGATTGAAGTCGAACCTGAAAGCTTGACGGTCATACTATGGTAAGGTTAGATAGCTATCATGTAACGAGTGACTTCTTGTCGACAGATGCTGGCACGTTCTATTTTACCTTCGGCGATAGAAGCTGCCGAAGTTGTTCCACCTTAAGTATTCGTACCGGCCTCGTGTTTGTCTGGACACAATCTGGACAAGTATGATAAGACCTGTACACCCGCCCTACTTGCCCCCTTGTCAAATCGTTTTCTGTTGTCCTCCCTCATCACCAGCTGCACGTCGCATTCACATTATTGCGATCCATACATAAGCGAGCGAAGCTTGAAGTTCCGCAGTCCACAATTGTTCAATCTTGTTCTAGGTCGCATCGGACGCATACTAAAAACACGTTACGCGACACCCTTCTCAGCAGTCCCATCCACCAGATTTCTCTGCACTACATGGCTTTCTTCCTCGTGATCCCATTCGTGATCCCAGCCGTAGTAGTGGCTGCAGGGTCTGCAGTGTCCGCGGGGGTTGCGGTTGTAGCCAGCTGTTTCCTCATGGTCCCAGCCGCAGTGTCTGCAGTGTCCGCAGGGGTTGCAGCTGTAGTCAGCTGCTCCCTCGCGATCCCATTCGTGGTCCTAGCTGCAGTATCTGCAGGGGTTGTAGTTGTGGCCAGCTGTTTCACGATCCCATTCGTGGTACTGGCAGCCGCAGTATCTGCAGTATCTGCGGGGGTTGCGGTTGTAGCCAGCTGTTTCTCCCTTGTGCCATTCGTGGTCCCAGTCGTAGTACCTGCAGTGTCCACGGGGGTTGCGGTTGTAGCGAGCTACTTCTCCCTTGCGATCTTATTCGTGGTCCCTGCCGTAGAGTCAGCAGTGTCCACAGGGGTTGCGGTTGTAGCCAGCTACTTCTCCCTTGCGATCCATCGTGGTCCCATTCGTGGTCCCAGCCGTGGTGTCTGCAGAGGTTGTAGCCAGCTGGCCTGCTGGCCAGCTCATTCTACAAGAACAAGTAACTGAAAGTAATAGAAGAGGCAGCAAGGAAAATAGGAACCTTAGTGCAGATGGCGACCCTCGTGGCCTTGTCCAAGGCGAGCGTTGACAACGTTGAGCGACGCGTCTGTGGCTGTGTAGTCATTAGTGGATATTAGTAGTAAACACAGGTAAACAGTGGTTGATTACTGGAAATCAGAATGAGTTTATGGAAAACCTGTTAGGCCCCGCTGGACGTGTTCCGGTTCTTTCGAACGACTTGCGGAAAAAGTTTGTGGCACACCCTCGCATCATTCACAACGAAAAGACCCCAGACTCTGGTCAACATCTTCGCTTCAGCTTACCATCACCGAGCAGTGTATCTTCACTCCCCCGCATGCTTCCCTTCCCTTAACTTCAGCTTTATCGGTTCGATCTTCTCGTCATGTCTTCGACGTGTTAGCTTCCCGTATTTTCAGTATACCAGCTCTCCTTTATTGACACTTTGTAACAAACGCGGACCTGATAATATATACACAAGATTCAACTCTCCAAGCAGCGGACGCGCTCACTGCAAATATCCGTTGACTGCTGCTGCAGTTCCGCATGACTTCAGCAACCCAATACTATGATACTATGATACTGGATGATACCAAACTAATAAACTCGCGCTGCTGGCCCTATACCGTCCTGCAAGCTTTATACCCGAAGATATATGGCGTGCATATCTGGCCACCACGAATGGTAATGAGCAGGCTCACCGCGATGTTAACCATGACGGCGTGAACTTGAACTTCTAGATGGCATCATGAGAAGATGGGCTTTTGATAACCGAGCGGTGGAGAGCATTGATATTCACACGTCACTGGGTATTAGCACTTGTGATCGTGATTCCACTGCTACCTACCTGGCATCGAGAAGTATCACTAGTCAAGGTATACATTTTTGCCCATACCATTCAATTTTTAACAACGATTTTAACCCTATCGCAGTGCCGCCATGTCACTCAAATTCAGTGGCACAACTTGCAGGCAATGGACACTAGCACTGCGATCTTCAACATTATGCCATGCATTGTGATGCACTGCAGCAACCAGCGCCCCGAGTAAGCATACCATTCACACCAGTGCCATCCTGCACACTTGTTAATGCCCTTCGACATATTAGAGGAGTACCGGAGCCATGTCTGTGACCGCGGTATACTAAATCACTGCTCGTGACTAGCGAGTTTGACGAGTCACTCGTTCCACTCCACCTCGCCCGTGTTCCTCTCTCGCAGTTCAGTACTCTCGACAGTGCACTGTGTAGATGATAATAGTCTAGGCGCTACCCAAACCTCAGTCTGTTCAACCTACAACAAAACACCCTGGCTCGTTTTATGGCCTCGAGCAGACTTCGCAGTTATGTGCTCAGTTACCCATTTTTACTTGTCCAGAGTACCCCCCCTTCAAACTCTCAAGTAAAGCCCCCATTTTATCGCATATGAACTTCATCGCACCAAACTCCATTCTTCTGTAACTTTCGCTGCTCTCGTCCTGCTTCAGAGACTCAAGGCGCGCTTTATTTTACGGTCATGCGTCACTCACGGTTGTGCAATGTGTGCCCTGGTATAGGATTATCCATCATATTATTGTATTCATTGATGTGCTACACGCTAGGATACAAACAATGTCCGAACCAAATTTAACTGCCACGTCAGCAGCAGGAAGCGCCATGTCAAGTAATGAAGCAGAGACGTTAACGAAGACAAGACGGTAGCGGGGGAGGGGGTGAACCGGCGTGCGGGCAATGGGGATCCATGGTTGGGGATTATATACTGCTCGGTGATAGCTGCAACGTTAACTTGAAGTGAAGATGTTGAGCAGAGTCTGGGGTCTTTTCAGGTTTGAAGTTGTTCAAGAAAGGTCTGAATTAGAATGATAACATGTTACGAGACACCGTACCATCGGTCCCAAGGCCTAAGGAATCATAAATATAATCAACGGTGTCCACAGAGCAGGCAGAAGAGGACCTAGCATTTTGGGGACGTATGGCGGATCCATAGAAGCATGTAATCCTAACCTAAACAGAGGGGGTTTTCACCATTTTCGATATTCTAAACAACCTATTCACACTCCGTATCACCCTGAAATCCATATGCTCGTTTGGTTCGGTCCGTGTATATGCCCTAATCCTACTCTTTTCGTATCAGTGCTGGCCACAATATAGAATATGATTGAATATTATTATGAATATATTCGAATACTCTGAATATAATACCTTGGCCCTGTATTCTCGGTCCTGAGGAATACGAGTGAATATGTTACAATACATTATGAATACAATACATTATGGTCGGTGTATTTATCCATATTCTGAATACGGTACTAACATATGTATTGGATAGCCCATGAACGAAATGCATTATGCATAAGTGTCGGGGATGAACTGTACAGTTTATCTAAAGATTTCCCACCCACCAAAATCTGTAAGTGGAATGCTGTGAGTCTGACTGCGCTTTGAATCACAAACATGGCCATATCTGGCAGCGTGGATCAGCTTTCACGGTTACTTCTTGAACTTCAACATGCAATTACAGGCCTGCCATTGACTATGCCAGAAGGAACAGAAGATGGCCCTCTTGCTTCGGCACCACATGGACAAAGCCTTGGAATCTGATTACCCTTTGCTAGGTGCCGGTAGGAATCTCGGCAGTTGTGCTCAGATCTTGCTCGAACACCTTTATGGGACTTATGAGACCGACGATGGCACTATAAGAATATCAGCCGCTACTCCTGCATCAGCCCCAGCCTCACCATCGAAGTCTGCCCTCATTGCAGCTTTGACCATGTCTAGTGGTGGTTCCTCTACGGCACAGAAAGAAGTAGACATCTATTTATGTAAGTGGTCTCTACCCTTGTTCACCTGAACAAATGACCAATCCGCTTCAGTGGTGGAAGGTGAGTAACCTTCTCGCATAATTCCTAACAAAAATGTCTTACTGTTGTCTTCGCAGCAACACGAGACGACATTTCCTATCCTGTTGTGCATTGCTCGTGATGTTCTCGCTATTCCCGCCGTCAGTGTCGCCGTCGAGCGCCTGTTTTCTAGTAGCAAACACACACTTTCTGATTCGCGCTTTTCGATGACTGCAGAGACTGCTTCCGCCGCTGTCATTATGAAGGAGTTGTTGAAGCTTGGCCTCGGCGACGGAAATCAGTACCTCGATGGTGTTTCTATCCATTAAATATGATTAGATACGAATACATACGAATACAATATGAATACAATAATGCTATCATTAAATATCTCGGGGCGGATAGAGAATATAATATGATTAGAATAAAATACGCCGTCGAGATTATTTTATTCATATTTGGACAGCACTGTTTCGTATACGTCGTTGCAAATTCCTAATTTGGGTTTCAGTGCCTTGTAAGTCATTTCAATATTCAAAGACCGAGCGCGCTTTGAAAGCGCTTTGTAACAATAATAGAGTCGCCATTGCAATCACACTGTAATTTCGGTTGCAATTATCATGGCAATTGCCGTTGGAATGCGTGGTAATCTACCTTAGCATTGTAATGAGTTATTTGTCCAGGAAACCACGACAGTCTTGAAACCACATTGCAATGTCAAGTAGCACATTGTAAGGACTTAAAAATCAATTTTTTTATTTGTAATTTTGATATTTAAATTTGATATTCATCTATTAATAATACATATTGTAAGAAGGGCGCATTCAATGTTGCTCAGCGCATCCAAACACCTGTAAAAATGTGACAGTTCTGGATTGTAAAAGCGACGTGGTAGAAAGTAAGAACTAACCATTACAGACGGAATGTTCGGCGATGAGCAAGGGTGTGGTTATCGATGGATATACCTGTGCAAGAACAAAGAAATAAAAATGAACTGTGCGTTCATTGTTCGTCGACAATCACATATCTCTGAATCATCCATGGGATAAAGTGGCATAGGCTCTAAGGACAGGTTCAGGCTACTGGAACTGCTCATGGAGTCGATACGAGACTTACCTTAAACACATGCAGAGCATCGTCGGACACGAGAGCAAATTAAAGTGAGTGAAGGGTCTGAGGAATGAATGTTAGTGGGCGTTCCCGATCCTGAAAGCAGAATGCACCTTCGGTGTGGGATGAGCTTACCCATCTTGAGCTTTCTTGCTGAACAGACCAAGGTTCACCTCAAACACAGTCTTTAGAAGACCCATATTTGCACCCTGGTATAAGTCAACTTGGTGCTCCCAGAGGTTGATGAGAAGTACTTCTGACAAAGTAAGGGAGAAAAGAGCGGATTTGTGTTCAAAGTCCTGAGAATGGTTGAATGACAAAAACCACCATTAACTGAAATTCGTTCGTACCTGGTCCTCTCCATGTTCCCATCCATCCGTGCCTTCCACATCCATGACCATGACACCCATGTCTTTCCCTCGGCACATCCAGATACCTCAAGCTGAGTTAGCACGAATACGAAAGTTGAGTAGTCCAAATATTTACCTTTCGTAGTCTGCTGCCATCTTGTCTCATCCATGATGTCAAAGGTAGTACCGAATAGCCTACTTAACAGTGCACCTGCCAGTCCTCAGTGGACAGCACTTCCAGACATTGGCATTTCAGCAGCTTACTCTTCCCAGTAGACTGCGACCCGAAGACAGCTACTATGTTGTAATTGAAGCTGGCATCACGTAGACCCCATCATCCTATTTGAGATGTCAAGTGGGTCCTGTTGGAAGTAGTGTGATTGAGGACTCGAGGAAAATTCATATGTGTTAGCAGACTGACATGAAGTTCTTCTCATCATTAATGACTTGCAGACGCTCAGAGGTTGACGGACTCTCGTTATCTTCTAACGCATGTCCATTCATTGTTGGCTTGGTGCCATTGAGCTGTGCAGCGAGTAACGATTCAGAAGAGTCAAGAGTTGAATGAGGAATTTTAACGGATTGACTGTCGAGCGACATGACTGCGAAATGAAATGGAATAGAAATGAGTGTCAATCAAGTAAAAAAACACGAAGTGTGAGTGTGCAGTCAAACTGATATTGACAACATTTTGAGCAGAATGTTCCAACACACCTTCTGAAGGGTCATAATCCCTGGATATTCTTCCAACTGAACACATGCAGAGCATCGGACACGAGAGCAAGTGAGTGAAGGTTCTGGAGAATGATTAGTGTGCATTCCCGTCGATCCTCAAAGCATTGACAGAAATCAAAGACACCTTCTCATAATAATCCCTGGAGAGATATGAACATTCTTCCAACTCTTGACCTCTTGAAGCGTTGTGCCAGTTCATCAGCACTGTATATCATGTTGATGGTGTTTGTTGACAAGTTTTTAGAGGCATTAGAGTCAGAAGGTAAAGTTTGTATGGCAACGGACGATGTGGTTGTATGATAAGGCACATGAGAACTTTGCAATTGAGTTACAGTCAATTATTATGTAAGCATCGGTCATTGACATGCATTGTAAGTCTGTTGGACTCAGTTGGAGGCACGTTTGAAGCCCTTGTAATGATATTGAAATTTGGATTGTGTGATTTAGAACAGATCGAACAGTAAGGGTAGCTAATCTATGCGACTTTCACACCAGAACGTCCACGACGAGTAGGACCCTGAGTTGTGGCCTTCTTCCCCCTAGTCTTGCCCCTCCCTCGTCCCCTTAAGCCTGACACCACATCAGTTTCCTCTCCATCATTGGGTGCAGCTGCCTCAACATTTGTATTCAATTGATTGTTAGCATGAACGGCAGCACGAGATGCTGATTCTTCCATATTTGTAGGCTGAATGTCAAGATTTGGACCTTCAGGTGCTGATAAGATTGGTGGCGCTGATAAGACTGGTGGTGCTGAGGGCGCTGAGGGCGCTGATAAGACCTGCACTGCTGAGGGCGTCAACGAGAGTGGTGGAGTGTCTTCTTCGCTATCAGTCTCCATGTCAAGTGCCAGCATGGCACGGTTAATTTCGTCAGATAATCTTCTGCGCCAGCAGATTCCAGGGTGGATGGTGACTTTGCACCACCGAAAACATGGTTGTTGATATTGGTGACAATAGTCTTGATCCGTTTCGTGCCCCACTTCGCAATGAGTAACTTCTTGTACTGAAAGAAGAGGTCCTTATAGTTGAGAGTTGACGATTTTCCAACTCCCGAACCTGGAAACTCGGTGTCTGGTGAGAGCAGAAATATAGCCTGTGTTACAGTGTATGAGTAGAATCATTTGATGCAAGTTAAACAACTTACGATAACTGCAGCCCACGCAATAGACCCTGGTGTGACTTGTTGGAAGCTCCACTTACGAGCGTTAGTCTTCGATCCGTCGCAAGGCTCTTGATGGAGTGAGGTGACACCATGGAGCGAGGCCCACAGAATATAGATACATCATAGTAAGTACATAGATGACAGCACAATCATGTGAGACAATAGCGCACCTTAGCAACAAGTGTCCAATTGCCGAAGACAGTCTTGAGGGTTGCATCTTCTTGCAGACCTGGGAACAAGAGAGGTGGAAATATCTTGTAAGCCTGAGTCTTGCCAGAGACTCCGAGCATCTTCTGGATGTCGGCGATGCCGGCTCGGTCATAATTAACATTGGCAAAGTACTTCCCTGGAAGGTTGAATATATCTCCAGCGACGCCACACAGTTTTTTGATCTCATTAGAACGAGCGTCAGTGATACACTTATTGACCTATGACAACCGGAATAGATCAGATAATAACTAACAGCACAAAAAGTGAAGTATAACATACGAGGTCTTTGAAGTACATACTTCCCATTACTGCGTCGTGGATACGTTCAGGGAAATGAGTATAGAGTTCGTCCAGGAAGGCAGATTCTTGAGTCGCCGAGGTCTTGTAACGATCAATGCTGTTGAATGGTGTACACAAATCCAGGCACTTCTTCATGAGAAGTTCACTGTCTGGAAACATTTCCACCATCATGCCATATTCACGAGCATACAATGAAATAGTTTGCTCATGAGCAACAAGTGCATCTGGAGCATCTACACATTGTTTCCGTTTGGGCTTCTCAGCGACGAGAACCTTGTTGTTCTCCTTGAGGGTGCGATTGTCATCACGCAGTTGCTGAATTTCAAGTTGCATTGCTTTGAGTGCCTGTATCGAGGAGAGCGTAAGTTTCTTTTGAACATAATGAAGTTGGTTGCTACATACGTCCATGAGATCTCCCTTGGAGGCATTGGGCCCTGAGATGATAGAGATCGGATCGGCAACATTGCCCTCATCCCAGTCATCGTCTGAATCATCGCCCAACATCTGCGCTGATAGGTGAGACATGTTTTAGATGATTAGTGACAAGGTAAGGAAGGGAAAAAGATGGCGTGATGCACCTAGTATATAAGTCGAGCTGTATATTAATACCTCATGTACCCTAGACGTAAATCAATTAGTTGAAAACTGCTGCGAGGCATGTAAAAAAGAGCACAATGGACTGCCACATGTTGATGGATGATGGGCGTAACTTGCTCTAGGACAGTAAACTCTTTGGCTCGTGGGAGGTCCGGTGGGCGGTAAACTCTTCGGCTCTCAGAGGGTGTGGTGGATGGTAAACTCTTCGGCTCGTGGAGGGTGTGGTGGACGGTAAACTCTTCAGCTCGTGGAGGATCCTGGGTCCAGTAGGTGGTAAACTCTTCGGCTCATGGAATGTCTGGTTGATGACATTCCATGAACTGTTTCGCGGTTGCTGTAGTAGGTTGAGAATAAAATCAGTGTGCTGCATGCATTCTGACATCCTGGACTTACCAATTTGGTGGAGGGCCTGGTGTGTGGTAAACTCTTCGGCTCATGGAATGTCTGGTTGATGACATTCCATGAACCGTTTTGCGGTTGCTGTAATAGGTTGAGAATAAGATCAGTGCGCTGCATGCATTCTGGCGTCCTGGACTTACCAATTTGGTGAAGGGCCTGCTCTTTGGCTCATGGAATGTCTGGTTGATGACATTCCATGAACCGTTTCGTGGTTGCTGTAGTAGGTTGAGAATAAAATCAGTGCACCGCATGCATTCTGGCATCCTGGACTTACCAATTTGGTGGAGGGCCTGCTCTTTGGCTCATGGAATGTCTGGTTGATGACATTCCATGAACCGTTTCGTGGTTGCTGTAGTAGGTTGAGAATAAAATCAGTGCACCGCATGCATTCTGGTGTCCTGGACTTACCAATTTGGTGGAGGGCCTGGTGTGTGGTGAACTCTTCGGCTCATGGAGGGTTTGGTGGGCAGTAAACTCTTCGGCTCATGGAATGTCTGGTTGATGACATTCCATGAACCGTTTCGCAATTGCTGTCAGTGTCACCAGCAGCAAAGAATGATGGTGGTTGGGAATAGTGCTTCTAGTAGACCATTAGCGAGACCAAGATGCCACAAGTGAAGAAAATGAGCAGGCATACCAGGTACAGTGGAAGAAAGACGACTTGAAGGTGTGTGATCAAACACGTATCGGATGCCCTGCCTTAAGATGTAGTTCCTTCACATGGAGGAACATATCGGTGTCGACAGTGTCGACAACAAGGTGATCAGTACTACCATCTGGCACGAGGAGGGCTCCATGAATGATTGATCATACTGAAAAAAACTCGGCTTGTGCCCGAGGTCTTGCTCGAATGCGATAGAAGTTAAGGTGTTTGTCATTTTGGAGCTGCACACCCGTGGGAGCATCGAATGGATGAACGAGAGCTAATGAGAGAGTGATATCTCCCACTACACATTCAAATAGAAAGAGCAAGCGACCAAATATCACTTTGTCAGTCGTCTGAATGAACACACAATTGAAACACGGACGACTGTAGAACTTGGGACTGCATTGAAGATAGTCTGTATGTTGTCGCCAATCCACCATAGACTTGTAGTTAACCTTAAAAAAACGGCACTCGGTAATAACCTGTTTGATCATATCAGTGTAGCAAAGCAGAGTCAGACTGAATATAACCAACCTTGTCACTTGCTCGGAGTTGGACGCGGTTTCCACCTGGTAAAGGGAGTTGAATAGCGAGTAGAAAGTTAGTCAGGAATTCATTGAGCTTGGTCCGAAAATTAGTGAATGCAATGTCCTCCTTGTGAGCATCCTCAATCGATTCAAAGGACTCCTCAACCTGCCTCGATCCAAGCTTTACGTGAGGCAAATCTGTATCATTTGATGGGACCAAATCGTTGTCTGCGTTGTCTGGATCCTCCGAGTCTTCGCTGTCTCGGGACTCGTACTCATCAAGGTCTGATATGTGGTGCCGAATGCTCTCAGCTGCCACTTACCAGTGGTTTATGCGCAGTATCTGAAATGAAATCAATGCCAAATGATAGTTTAAGTACAAAAATGTCACCTGTGGTGCCACATCCCTGAAATTCGTGCGAAGTAAGTACGAGTCTTTCAGCGGCCCATGCATCTTCTCGTTAGGCTTTGTATTGTAGTTGCGGGTTGCACCTTTTGCTTCAACATTATTGAAGATGTGCAAGCTCATGTGCAGTTTGGGGAAATTCCAATTCTTATCGCTCTCGTTGGCGCTCTTGTCTATGTATTGCTATTGTAGGTTCAATGAATGAATGATTATATTTTGAGTGAATGCGAGAAGACGTACTTGTAGATAGGTCGAGAAAGCTTGTATTGCATGCCGGCCAGCACTGATGGTCTCAGTTGTGTGAACTTGCAGTGCTGCATACATGTCGAGTTCGAGAAAGAGGCGGATGCAACGAAGTAGAAGATAGCCAAGTGGACACTCATCCTTTGTTAAGATTGCGTGTGTAGCGTGTATCACCATCTGAAAAAGAGTCAGTGACGATCAAGGAGGATGTGAACCAAAAACAAACCTTAGAGATGTCTTCGTACACGCTGCCATCAGCGAATGAAATGCTCATTACCTGAGCGAGGTGCTTCAAGTTCCGCCAGCGAGGAAAGGCTTCATAACTAGTTTAACGAGTTAGTTCAAGATATATATTTACAATGCTCAAGTCGCAGACATACTTTTTGTCCACTTGCGCTACTGTTGTTCATCCCAAACTGCCGATGATTTTCTGTAGTTCGACCCAGAGATGGTCGCGGTATAGACCGCCGTTGAAGTGAAGTTGATCCCATGACAACGCATCGTGTACATCAGTATACATCACAGCCGCAAAGGCATTCTGTAGTTTTGTTTGATTAGAAATAGATTTACAAAATAAAATCTTACTATGAGATCACGAAGGCCGTACTCTTTCAGTTTCTCCTCCTTCTCCTCGGCAGTTTGCTTGGACCATGCGGCCTGTAAGACTTCCTGCGACTGAGCAGACATTTGATAAGGATAACACTTCAATGTGTTCATAAGTTCATCATGGGGCACAAGGCAGACTGGACACGGCCAAAGGCATTTGATGCCTCGGATCAGCGACATAATGCATCTTAAGTATATTATTCATTAGCAATTCAGATTAAAATCGAAGCAGTCAGACATTACTCACTGTTCCTCATAATCAGCTGACAAAATGAGGATGAAAGGAAAAACCAGCGTTGAACATTATCGAGGCACTCAAACCATTGTCCCGTGTGAGATTTTGATGCGAGTGAAGACAGAATCTTTACAAATGACTCGTGCCAAACGGCATTCTTGAAGTTGAGCCAGCTTGGCTTGCTGGCGTGGTCTCTGTCTTCCTTCACCTGCGGTAGAATATGAATCCTAACTATATTGAAAATATTGCCATGACATACGATCGGAAGCCATCCAACTACATAACTGCCACCTACACCCTGTCCATTACGAATGTCTGTAGGTAGATTTGCTAGACGTGCAATGACAGGATATCCTCTTGCAGTGCCAAACAACGACAACCGAGTTTTGTCAGCATACAAGATGAAAGCCAAGGGCTTGCCACCTGGTGGGAGCTGAGACTACGAGGCAAAAAGAATGCGATCAAAATCGCCAAAGGTGATAGTAGTACATACTTGAACATTCCAAAAGGTGTTGGCAGTGAAAGGCTCATCTACAAAATGTATGAAAGTCTCGCCATTGAACTTTGAGAGGCACTGCACATCAAAAACCATATGCGGGAACAGTCGAGGATCGCGAAGGAGATTGGCTGCCCACTCCCAGAGATCCCGATAGTATAAATCGAATTGTTGAATTGTGTCATTGTATGATACAGAAATTACATCCTGAGTAAACTAACAAAACCCAGGAGTTGTCAGACATCGAGTTTCAGAACGAACGAAAGAAAACAACCCCAGTAACGCGATGGGAGACAGCATCCCACATGTTGCGGATGTCTTTGTGATTCTGGAACGTGATTTTTTCCTGCCGGGAAGCGCACCGGTTACAGAACTTGATCAGACGATCAGTCTGTTCGTTATTCAGGCATGCCTCCAGAGCAAGCTCAGCGATCTCGAACTCCAGTTGTGATTTGAACGGAGCCCAAGGTTGTTTGTCGGGAGGCGTGGAAGATGTCGAGGGTGTTGGATGGCGTTTAAAATCGTCAAAGCGTGAACTTCTGATGCCATCCCGCTGCTGGGATGATATTCACGCTTGATATTGTCAACTTGGAATATGGGATCTATGTGTTCAGAGATGTCGGCGTCAAGCAACAAGGGGTGTTCTAGCAAAGTGTTAAATGTGAATATAACAAAAAAAATGGACAATATTCTGAGCTTATCATTGTACCCCATGTTGTCTAAATCATCCCAAGCGCCTGGAGAGATATCATGTTGTCCTGTTGCAAATTGAATACAATTAGAAAACACACTAAAAGGACACTCACCTCTCTGTCCTAACACTGCATCAGCGCGATCTCCCCTCATTTGTCGCAGATTTGAGGGACCTGTGATTATTAGTATAATTAAATATTGTCAATAATGAGAGATTGCGTTTACCTGCAGTTACAGCCTGAATGGAATCCACAAAGTGTTGATTTTGCCATTGTTTTTCAGCTTTCTTCTCACAAGCCTTGCGGTGAGTGGTGTAACCGCATGGTTTAATGTCTTGGTGACACAAGTCACAGTATTTTGACCTCTCGGGGCCCATTTTGTCGACAGGGATGTACAAGTTATGTACTGGTATCATTATGTATGGAAAGAAGGGGGAGAAGGCTCAAGAACGCTGTAAAGGGGAATTCAAGCAAGTCAGACGCATATCAATCACGTTGCATACACATTGCAAGTGATTAAAACCCCGCCATCAATCTTACAGCATTGTTGTAAATGTGATTGTAATGTGATGTAAATCGTTCCTGATTACAATCGTTTTAGGAAATTTGCGACAGTATAATGGACACGGGCGGACAAAAAGTTTCGTGGTTTTGCTTGAAATCTTTCATTTCCAAACATAGGTTGCACTTTGTGTTGTTAGATTTTCGATTTCAACTTTTGATTTCGGCTTTTGACTTTGGCTTTGGCTTTCGGCTTTGGCTTTCGGCTTCAACTTCGGCGTTTCCAAATATAGGTTTCACTTTGCGTTGTTAGATATTTTTGATTTCGACTATGACTTGGGTTTTCGGCTTTCGACTTGAACTTTCGACTTTTGACTTGCGCATCTTGCACTTCAATTTCAAAAATTGGCTCGCAGTGCTTGAGTACGTAACTTGGTAGTTGTCGACTGATACTCCATCTGTACCATGCCCGAGGCAATTCAACTGACAAACATCTATGATTCTTTCATGCAGCTAGGCGAGAGAGTCCATGTAACACTCAGAACACAACTGGGTGATATTGGTCGCTTGAATGCTCAAAAAGCCATCTGCCTTCAATTCCTTGAAGTTATTGAACAGGTATAGTTACTTGTGGTATTGTTAGGAGGTCATCTGATGGCTATCTCAGCATTTGAACACCATCCCGCCTGTGGAAAGACGTGTAATCAAATCCAGCGTGGATTGCATGATCTGGGAGCTAGATATCGCCACCACAATATCATCTGATCCACTGGATGCAAGCCCCATCACCCTAGGAAGTCATACCAATACAGGCGTGGGAAGACCCAGCATTGACATTCATCCATCTGATCTTGCTGTACTCTCATCAGGAAGAGTGTCAAGGAGGCGCCTGGCTGAACTATATCAATGTCACCCCCCGCACCATACGCCGTTGACTACTTGAATTCAACCTTGCCTCTCCTGGACCTCCAGTATATGTGAATGAGCAACAGCCAGATGGTAGTGTCGACTGAATATACCACCAAGGGTCTTCAAGCGATCTCTCTACAATTTCAGATGCTGAACTCGATAGATTGATACTGGAACTGTATCAGCAGTTTCCATCCTTTGGACGACAGATGCATGATGGCTATCTTTTGCAGCTTGGCTACCGGATCCCTTGCAGCCGTATAGAAGCATCATATCTGCGAGTTGTTGGTCCATCTCCTGCAACATTTGGTCCATGGCGAATCCAACGTCGTAGCTATTCTGTACCAGGCCCCATGGCCCTGGTTCATCACGATGGACAGCATGGTGCATTGTGCATGGGCAGTGTAGTAGTAAAATTAATAATTTATCACAGGTCTCATCCATTGGAAGCTAGTCATCTATGGCTTCATTGATGGATTCTCTCGTTATGTATGTTCTAGGGATGCATGTTAGCAATAACAACCGCTCTGGGACTGTGCTCTCTTTATTCGAAAATATTGGTATGACCCCATGGGTACCCAAGCCGTGTGAGAGGTGACCATGGGACAGAAAATTTACTTGTTGCTTCCCGGATGGAAGAAGTATGTGGCATCGAGCGTGGTTCATATATATGGGGCAGGTAAGTATTAGCAAGCTCTCTGTCTGCTAGTCTGTCCTAATTATATCTGCAGGAGCGTTCACAACATCCAGATTGAATGCCTTTGGGTGGATGTGACAAATGGCCTAGGGCAGAAGTGGAAGGAATTTTTCCAGGGACTCAAAGCCTATGACAACCTCGATGTGAACAATGATTCACACCTGTGGTTACTCCATTTCCTATTCCTCCCTTTAATTAACGATGATGTAGGCCAATAGGTAGCCTCATGGAATTGCCATGTTCTTGGGCATCGTGGAGAGCCCCATCGGTCACCCCATGATCTATTTGTCCAAGGCATCATTGAGCATGGGCATCGAGGGGTGTTCATTGAGTCGGGTAAGGACCAGGAGGTAGACAATATTGTCAGCTATGTCATTGACTGGAATGACTTGGATGACCAGAGTCTACTGGCTCATCACAATACTCACAATCCTGAGGACGGTGATTCAACCAATCCATTTGTATCAAATCATCCTGATTCTGATCTATCCCATGTCAAGGTTCCTGAGTCCCATTGTCCATTTACTGACACTCAACTTCAATTTTTTCTCTCTGATGTCCAGCCCCTTCTTGATTCAGGTCTACATATTGATATGCACTTGCACTGTAGAGACTCGCGTCTCTGCAGGCCGTTATGGGCCAAATTCATGCCTTTTCACAATGCACTCAATATCCTTGCAACGCGCTGTAGAGACTCCATTGCGAGTAGCCTCACAAAGGCCGTATTTCCACTTCGTCTCCACTAATGCGCGCTATATACGACAAGGCGACTTGAACATGCTAAACGCGCGACGCTTCCGCCTAATCCGCGCATCCGCGCATCTGGCGCCTATAGCGCGCCTCTATAGCGCCTTTCGCGTTACTACGGCGCCTTTGCGCACGCTTTCGCGCTTTACCTTCGCGTTCGCTTTTCCAAGTCGCCTGTCCTCCGCACGTCCTGTCCTGTCCCTCTATGATCCGCTGGTGCGTCTCCCTTTATCTTTTCAACTGACTTTAGCTATATACCTCGTCTGTTTACACATATTTCCTTATTCTACAACACAACAACTCTTTTTTGCTTCGCTTCCGCTTCGGCTCAGCGCCTGGGAACATTTACCTTAGACATGGGGACTCTGATAGATTTTTTCACTTACTTACTTACTCACTACATCCCATCATCCTGCATCAGTGTATACTGTGAATCAATTTCTATTCATTTGCAACACAACCACTGCGCGACTCTCTATTCTTTTGCAACAAGCTCTCTTGAGAAAATCTTGAGAGACCTTCGTGCTACTTCCGCCTCTTCACTGCCCCCTATAGCGCGCTTGTTCCGCCTACGTCGCGCTTTCGCCTTTCGTCGTGTTAATGCGCGTTTCGCGTTTACAAGGCGTCTCACACCCGCGCTTTGCGCAGATTCCCTTGCTGACTCGTTCAGCGCATCCCCTCGCATTTACTCGAGGAAAAGACTCAGTAAAGATCCTCTTGGGCCGACTTCTACTCGCGTTCGAGGACTACTGCAGGCGACTTATCTTATATTTTTCAGTATAGACCCACTCACGATTCCTCATCTTCACCGGCAAGAATGAAAAACTGCTTCTCCCTCAGGATGAATGTACAATATCACCGCAGCCATCAAGTCAATTATGGTGAAGCACATTGCAAGTGACCACCGCGCTACTCCTGAAACACTGACTTGCATGTGAGACACCATGTATCTACAGCAAACCCAACATGTGGATTCAGGGACAGTATTAGTATTCTGTAGGAGATGCAACTTAGTGCTTACTCACCTTAGTGCGCACAAGTAACCACTCCCTCGTCAACACTCCTGCTGACTGAGACATCGAAAAGGTTCAATGGCGGCCATCACTAGCACTTACAAAGTAGTGTCCCAAGCGCCAACTCAAAAGGAAAATGCCTCATATACTCGAACTGACACTTCAGGGTCACGAGAAATTGGTGAATGAGGTAGGTTTCATCCATGGTACCCATCTCCTCATTGCTTTCTCCCACAACGACAGTAGGATCTGGGCTTGCGGATTCCGGAAACAGGTGGGCAGCGAAGCAGTTGTGCCATCATCAGTATTCAAGTGAGATTGAATATGGGCTTCATTGATGCTGCAGGGCAGTACAATTACATCAGGGTACAAAATGAAGCTGGTACAATATTACTGGGATGGTGCAAGGGTACAGTCAGTAGCAATTGGAGCTGTCAAATTGTTGAAGTGCAAGTAGGAAAGTGCAAGGAGTAAAATTTACTATGTAGGCATGATTAGTAGTGTGCCTTTAAGACTCAGATCAAGTGGGATAGCAGACATACAGATGTATTGTAGTGATTGAAGGCATTGCCACTGATACAGGAGTGAATCCACCTATCAAAGTCGGTGGAAATTGATGTGTCCATCAGAATTTCTTGGTTCACAATGAGCATAGATGTCTCGTTCAACAGCACATCCACTGCATAGAAGCATGTGTGGATGTGGATTCCCTTGACATTATATATTTCAATGACTGTGATAATCTAGAATAAGTGACCAGACGCACTACATGTTCACCCCACTGATGGTTCCACTGTGCCTGGAAATTCAACTGTTCAAAGACATCAGTAAGGAGAGACACTGTCAATAGAGCAAATAAAATGTCGAATCCTGATATGTTGCTGAGGGCACACTGGAAGGAACTTACTACCAGTGACACACCGGAGAAAGAGTCGAGTCTGTAACAATGGATTAATTACTACATCTTCTCTGAAGAGATCTGATCCATCATTTTGGGTAGGAGTGCCGCACCCATGGAGGTAGTGCTTCTGATGCAGTTTGAATCATGTGATGATATCATTGAAGATGCCACCAACTGGGGTAACATTGATGACAAGAAGGCGGATAACCTGCTCTGGTGAGGAAAGAATATGGCCACCAAACATTCCCTCAAGAATCATACTAGACAAATCTTCAGTGAGGATATGCTGAAGGTAGTGGTGGTGACATGTGAGCCAATGAATGAATGTCTTTAACATTGAAACATACCTCACATAGTGTCAAGTGATCGTCAATTAGGCAGTCGAATGCCTGACACATTGATGAATATACAATGTGGTCAGGTGTTCCACGAGTGAACTGGTTGCCAAAGAACACCTGACATTGTAACCAGTGGGTAAGCTCAGCTTGTGCATTCACAGGAAGACACCTCAGCTGTGTAATCTAACCAAGCAGTGTGAAAACATTATCATTGTAGAAATGAATGAGAAACTAACCTGTGCAGAAGCATCGACTTCCAGAATCATGGAATACAAGTCCATTGCAGGTGCTATGGATAGTTCTAACTGGCCTGTCACAGCATCAGTGACTAGAGGGGGTGGCCACACAAGAAGACTGGTGGTTGGATCATCACTTAGGAGGAACTGCATGGTCGTTTGTGCAGCTGCTATTCTCCCTCTCCAAGCAGCAACAGCAGCAGTAGGAGATTGTTGATGAGGTTGTGAAGCAACAGGGGGATGCACGATAGTACTGGTGGCAGTACCTGGACTGGATGGTGCAGAGGAAGTAGGGCCATCAAAGGGCATAATCTGAGGCATACATAGAGGCAATAAGGGCACCATCCTATAAACAGGAGACACTGGTCCTGCTAGGAAGAGAGATGCCCCAACATTGGTAGTATCTGCTGATGTCGATGGCACAAAATCAGGAACATCAAAATCCATATCAGAATCTGCCAATGATTGCTGAGGTGAAGACGTGAGTTGAGCACCTACTCAAGCAAGAAAAGATATTACATACCTCAGAGCACCCATCAGAACATATAAATTCCGTGTTCTCTTCATGTATATCTGGGTGAAAGTTCTTGTTCCAGAGCCGAGGCACAAGACACAGGTGCAACCCCTGTCCATTGAGAGGGCCAGTAACAATAAACTCTAGAGGAACTGGATGCTGCATCAATTATTAAGAATGGGAGAGGGAACAGAAAAGAAGCTTACCAACAAACACTATGCGGTGATCATGATGAGGTGATGGGATGGGGAGTTTGTCAGCATTTGCAGCCAAGTCTTTGTGAGTGACATCTTCAGTGGACTTCCAGGATGAGCTGAGTTTAGCACCCAATGCTGATCGCTGACTTTTTCCAGTCATAAGGAATGACCAGGTGTATCAAGACATTGTGACAGTGTTGGTACTGGGTGCGCTGTGAGGGCGGGAGAACACAAACCCCTTGCTATCCAAATGGTTGGTCAACTGAGTATTGAAAATAGGTCCTGCGAATTCATCTGAGCATGCTGCAACTTCAAACTTGAATAAGAGTCCCAGGGACTCAGCCTGGCATAAAAAGGAGCCAATCTTTTGAGACACAGGGCACCAGAGTTCACGAAACAGCCGATCAAAGTCTGTCGTAACTGTTCTGTACCCCTAGACAAAATACCAGTGTAAAAAACTGCATGTGATACATTGTATTCAAAGATTACTCACCAGCTCAGGGTGGATGACCACCAAGTACTTGATGGGTTGAGTGGTGCGCTGAGTCAATTGTCTCCTGGGGGCAGTTGATGATCTGGTTGGGTTGCCAGACCTGCCTGCCTGGCAAGAGATTATTGGCACTGAGGTCAGTGGAGATGCTGATACCCCATGGGGGGCACACTGGCAGTTGTTTGTAGTTCCAGATGCAGGGGCATGGGGAGGACTCCAAAGTCAAAGAGTTAGAGGTGCAGGAGTTATCGGTGGTGCTCCAGTGTTACTGGAAAGTGGTGATGGAGGAGGCTGAATGTACCGGGCAAGTACTGGACTGCCAGACGAAGAACTTGATAAATTTGCCATGGTCAAATCATAACCAGAACAGATAATTGGGGGTGATGGGCGCCTGAGTGGGAGTAGGGACATGGACATGATATGCTTCATTACAGAGCGCACACATGGAATGATATGTGGCTGGATTTCCATTCTACATAATGTGAATTTTGCAAATAGTGTTTATTATTTACACTCACCATAGAGAAATAGGTGCCAGATGCATGCCGACGAGGCGGAAGGGCCACAGCTGTGTGATCCTGTGGGGTATGAGCGCATGCACACTCATTAGGCTGGGATCGATCAGTACTGAACACCTGAGAGTCACAGATTGTACATAACTTACACCCATTTCCAAATATCCATGACATGCACACTGACGGCAGGGGGATGAGTCCATGTCTGCGATGTCCTTGAAGCAACAGGGAGATGAAGAGTTAGTATGTCAAGAAATGGGAGATGCCAAATTTTATGTATCCATGCAAGTTCCATGGTCCATGTGCTACCATGATCCATGGTAGCTTGCAATAGAAGCTTGAACTTCAAGTGCAACATGACAGATATAGTTCAAAGTACCCCAGTGCTTGCTGAGTGCATACACCCACTGCGAGATCTGTTAAGACCGTAGCTCAAGGGTAGACAGATCCAAAGGGCTTGGCCTCAGCTCGTGCGCTGTGCCCCTTACCCGAGTACATGCCCTTAATTTCAGAATGAAGTCCAGATGGAATCCGACGAAGTCCGAAGGACTTCCAGAGGCTGGCTACTTTAGTAGAGTGCTAGAGGACTTCCGGATGAGTGCGAGAAACTTCCGGAGGAGTATAGGAAACTCTGGAGGAGTTTCATCCACTGTATTAGATCCGAAGGTAAGACTTCCCAAGGTAAGTTCCCTAGATAGAAACACATATAGGATAGGCTGCGAGGGACAGAGTCCAAAGCAGGATAGGATAGGAGGAGTGGTCCGAAGGTAACAGCATCTGAAGGATACGTCGTCCGAAGGTTACGACGTCTGAAGGTTACGACATCCGAAGGTCCAAAGGTTTATGAGGACTGGAGGAGCGGACAGGATTAGGACAGGAGGGGAAAGGCTACTATGGACAAGGTCCAGAGTAGGAACAAACAGAGGTAGACTACACTTAAGTAGAGATGGAGTTGACAGGAAGTAGACCAAAGTCTCGGAAAGACAGGAAGTGCCAGAAAGGCAAAACTTCGGTCTAGGGAATCAATCCCTAGACTGCAGAACAGAGACATAGGGGACAGATCCGAAGGTCCGGATTTCCGGCCTAGGGAATCAATCCCTAGGCCTTGATGGAAAGGCAGAACTCAGATGGACCAAAGTCCAAGACAAGAATGAGTGAAGTCTAATGTGTGAGAGAGCAAGTCTATGTTGATATTCGAACTAAGGAAACTTTACAGGAGTTGTACAGATCTTTATATACTGGAAGGGATCCGAGAGGATTGGTAAGCTGAACACAAATGCTATGTACGAGCATGTGGAAACATATTAGTAAGTATGAACGGAACATAAGTAAATGAACTCGGATATGAACAGAGTACAAGGATCAATAAGCAAGACGGAAACAGAGATAACCGAAGTCCAGAGTCAAGGGGATTACCATAAGGAGATAGACACTGATTTAAGGTTTGGGCTTCGGATATGAGTATAGGTCGGATCCGGAGGTCTAGAGATATCAGATGAGGTGTCTGGATATCGGATGAGCGGATCTGGAGATCTAGGTGAAGACGAGACTAGGATATGGATCATGGATATGGACCGATAGTCTAGGGAAGGTAGAGTCCGAGATGGAATGAGCTCGGATCTGATAGGGCCAAGGGTGGATGAAGCAGGCTTAGCTGCAGAGGTCCAGAGGTATGAATATATGGATGTATGAAGGTGTACGGATCCAAACTGATAGTGGACTGGAGGACTGAAGGCATGGATAAGGGTATGGGGTCATGGATAAGGGTATGGAGGTCCGGATGTGCATCTGGAAGGCATGGGAACATCATTGGACGAAGGTCCGGAATACGGGATATGACAAGATCCCTGATAATGATGAATCCATGCTGGACTATACCCATGTAAATTATGCAAGGACACACCTGAACCAAGTAACAAGGTTAATGGACTAATGTTCTGTGACTGTTGCAAGATCTCCAAATATTAGTCAGCATCTACCAAAACTTTAAACAGATATATGCTGCACCAGAGAAGTCAAGAAAAGAAGGGCAGGCACACCTAGGCCTGAAGACTGAAATGCAGAGATCATTCAAGGTGCCATGACCACAGGGGAGTGCACCAGTGTGATCTCAAGTTTTATAAACAAGGTCACCACAAGCTTGCAAAACTCGACTTGTGAAGATCCTACATAAAAATCGCCAGTGTTTTGCTACTTGAGCACTTACAGATCAAGTACAACCTTGGCAGGCACCCATCAGACTGAAGTAAAACCTTGTTGTAGAAGTTTGGTAACCATAGAATATGCATCAGGAAAACAACCGGTTGCTTATCTCACTTTATTTGTCACTTAATTATGTGAAAAGAAGTATTAAGTCATTTGAGTGAAAAAGTGCAAGCCACTTAATTAAGCCCACTCCATCTCTGAATTTCCGCTTACTCAACACTTATTTTGCTTAAAAAACCAGATAAAGCGGCACAAGTCTTTCATAAAAAGGGGCATACTACACGATAAGCAGAAAATTAAGGAAACTTGCTAATATGAAAAGTGGGACAGCAGTACAGGAAAAAAAGGGGGGAATGCGGGAGCAAATAGAGCAGTGGGAGCAAATGGAGCAGCGGCAGATGCAGTAAAAGATGATAGTGACAGCCTGGAGTTCGATGTAGGATAGTGAAAATCATGCAGACACAACAAATAGAAAAATTCTGAGGTCGTGAATGTCAGTGAGATTAAACCTGAATGATAATGACTTACAAAGCATAGCACGCTCATCGTCCTCAGACTCCTCATCATCAAATGAGCCCTGTGCTGGATCCATCGCATCGCTCGACATAGTACAGGCACGTGCCATCTGTATCGTAGTCTCTATGTATCCAGCAGGCTTGTTCGAGATAGACTTGATGAACGAGTTAGTCACTTTAGTCCAGCGAGCCCCTGAAAATAAGAATGGGGTGTTGGTCATTTTGCTGGTGGTTTTGTTGAGGATTTTTGGTAGCTTGATAGCGAGTTTACCTGAGCCAGCCGCTAAGACTTCCTTGACTTTCAAATGCTTGTCTGCAAACATATTGAGGGCACGTTCAATCTAAAATAATATGTGTGAATTAAACCATCTGAAGATCAAACTTACTGCTGCAGCAGAAAGGGCAATAACGCCTGACATCCCAAGTGTCACGAGTGCATGCATGTCGAGTTTGGGAACATCCACATACCCACTGATGGCATTGAGATGCGCAGTACCCAACAACTGCAAAACAAAGGGAGAATGGTACACTGTGAGGGGATTCGGCTCATCAGGATCCTGAAACAAGAATGCATAACCTGCAATTAAAGACTTGGCGAGTTCAACAAGATCGCAGTCAGAATTTCGCATCAAAAAGTCCAGGACGATGACTATGCCTGTAGAGCTAAAATTGCTGTGCCATTCGGATATACACTGCGCTGTCTAATTACAAATACAGTCAGTCAAGCTCGACAGTAAAAAATAGACTTACCAGGGAGTGTATCACACCACCATGAACGATAGTGATGTTAAGTTCCTTGTATACCACATTAAAAATGAGCTGGGCATGAAGGAGAAGGACGTCATCTGGGATGTTCCAGATATCACCATAACTCCCGGCCCACAACATGACAGTAGGGAGATACTTCTTTGTCCAGCGCTGATCTACCTGCATCATAGCAGGTAAGTCAACATTACGATAGGCGCTCCGAGATTTTATTCACTCTGGCGCAGTGTCCATGTTCAACTGGTGTTTGACAGCAGGAGTGTTGTGGGCATGTGTAACGGATGACTCGACCTTGGCCTTTTTTAGAGCAGGCGGCTTGCTGTCAGCAGTAGAAGCAACAGATACAGACGTCTATGAGAGTGTCAGAATGAGCACAATTAACAGTTCACACTTACTGAAGATGTTGTGCGCTGAATCTTCTCCTTCTTTAGTACCACAGGTTCAGGCTGAGACTCTTCATCAGAAACCATAATCAGGTCCTCAAAAGCAGGACCATCAATGTCCATGGACCAGTCAGACACCACAGACGCCTCCTTATCATCATCTAAGGCATCATCCACCAGAGTTTTCCACTTGAGGGTCCAGAGAGTGTCGATTTGTGTGAATGGAGGCTTGGGCTCCAGTGAGTACTGTTCCTGCTCTGCAAATGAAGTCGCCAAATCTTCATCCGAGTCATATGCTCCTGATGGTACTGATGTGGAAGTTGCCTTTGGCTCAAAGTCCACATTATCTTCAAATATTGAGACTACCTGCGGAACAATTAATGAGTGGATACTAGTACTAACGATCCAATAGCATTCAATTACCTTCGATTTTCCCTTGCCTTGCACAATAGTGGCCTCATGCTCCAGGGTATCATCGATGGCATCTGCAAAACTGCCTATGAGGGCGTCATCTGCATCTGGAATTTCAGCTGGAACCACAGGCTTCCAAATCAGGACCTGCACATCAGAAGTTGCTGCCGTAGAAGCAGTGCCTTGTGAGAAAATGGAGGTCAGAGGTGCTCAAGTAATACTTGATGCAGATGGTAGTGGCTTTGGATGTTCTAATTTTCCCAGCGGCTTAATGTTGGAAACCCAGTTGGTGACCTGGCCACCCAATGCGAATTTCTGAGTGATTGCATTGAAACTAGTGGTAAGATTGAGGAAATGTAATGTTGATTTGGTGAGAAGTAACATCAGTGATGGGTAAGAGAAGAAGCCTTACAGCACTGAGTCTTTCCCATCAGATACATGTGCCACACCGTCGGTGTTGTCACTTTCCCTTTTTGATGGTGCTTCGTTGATCTTCTTTTGCATGTTGCTGATGGCATCCTTTATCAGTGTCTTTCCACCTTTCTTCGTTACCTTCTTCTTCGTCACTCCTACAGTTCCACTGTCCATCTGCTCAACAGTCTCCTGGAGGTTGTCGGCTTCATCAGCCTCCACCATGCTATCAGTATGATTGTCACTACTCCTTACTGCAGGCTTTATAGTCTTATGAACCCTTGGCTTGGGCATAACAGGGATCGCTTTTTTCGTGAGTAAATCCTCCTGCGCTTTCTCCATCTCATTCTGCATACCAGCCAGGCGCTTCAGTCCCTTGTCAGCCTGTGCCTCCTTTAATTCCTTGGCTTCCTTGAGGGCAAGGTCATCAGCATTCTTTTGTACCTTGGTACGTCTCTTGACCTGTGCGTTAAGCACTATCTGACCAGGCCGGGCAGTTGCATTTGATGGACAGGTGCAACAAGGAGCATCTATTGTAGACATGACTGAGGAGATGGGGTTACTGAGACGAGGACTTTCGCTGGAGTGAGACGTCAGGATTGTGAAGGTTGGAAGTTCAAAAATTTAGTAAGTCCCCAAACAAGTATATCGACTGTGGCATGCACACGCTAATTGGATTATAGTATTCGGCATGGCTCTCAAGGTTCCCATACGGTTCGACTCTTCTCTTCATTTTACGTTTAGGATGTCTCATTATGCTTGCAGGGACCACAGCGCTCATCAGATTCCCTGCGGTTACTTGCACTGCGAACACCACTTCAAAACTCAGGCAGGGCACACAAAGCACTGGAATGCTTTGCATCCAACATTCACCTCAGCTCCTACCACTAGTGTCTCTTATTCGGCTACAGTCGAAGATGAGCCAGAGGAACTGCATGACAACTTCTTCGCAGGGGACAACTTCCCCGCAGGCTCGTTTGATGCGGGCCAGGCTCTCGACAAGCCTGACAATCTGGCACATACTGCAGTCACTTTACCCTTGATAAATACATACAACTAATGTTGAAATATCCATGTTCCACACATGTCAGCCAATGTGGGCCCATCAATGTATTGTTGTGATACATACAGGTGGGCCCATGCCAAGTATGTATGTGATACCAACAGTGGGCCCATAGTATGTGGTATAGTAGATAAGTGTACACTTTCCTATTGCATTTGGTAGGTATTGTGTGGTAGGTAGTGTATGAAATATATGCCTGATATGAACAGGTCGGCCGAGTGGGCAGTGGTACTGATATATACAGATGGGCCGACACCCCTATGTCAAGTGTGTATGTGATACCAACAGTGGGCCCATAGTGTGGTATAGTAGATAAGTGTACACTTTCCTATTGCATTTGGTAGGTATTGTGTGGTAGGTAGTGGATGAAATATGTACCCGATATGAACAGGTCAGCTGAGTGGGCAGTGGTACCGATATATACAAATGGGCCGACACCCAAAGCATATAGATGTGTCATGGACACTGCTCTGTCAATGGATTGGTCTTACAAATATACTTGCCCATGATAGACTCGGGAAGTCGGTCAATCGGTCGGTCAAATATGTGAACATTGGGTCTGTCCCCTGAGTCACTTGTGCAAAATATACTTGTCAGGACTACGTCAGTCAAGTATGAGGTGGTCGGTCAATAGCTCGGTCATATGTGATGTATGAGAGACATGGTCGGTGGTAATGGAATGGCTTACAGAATACACTGGCCCCATGATAGATGGGTGGTTGGTTGGTTGGTTGGTTGGTTGGTTGGTTGGTCAAAACATGTCAGGTCAAATATGATGTATCATGGACTAGCTTACAACATATACCTCTGTGAAGATAGACAGGGTGATCAGTCAATAGCTTGGTCATATGTGATGTACGAGAGACATGGTCGGTGGTAATGGAATAGCTTACAGAATATACTGGCCTCATGATAGATGAGGGGGTCGGTCGGTCGGTCGGTCAAAACATGTTGGGTCAAATATGATGCATCATGTACTAGCTTACAATATATACCTCTGTGATGATAGACAGGATAGTCAGTCAATAGCTTGGTCATATGCAATGTAAGAGACACGATCGGTCAAATATATGGTCGGTCAAATACAATATATTACCGAAGCGCAATTGCTACATGGAATCACACAATCAATCACATTCAATCCAGGCCAAATCAATTTCATTCAATTCATGTAGACAACAGTATCTAACTAACTGATGTGTGCTACATAAGGGTATATTTGCGATCAAGGGAGGGAGGAAGTAGTAGAAGCAGGGCATGAAACACTCAAATCACATTGGATGGGGGGAGCAGATGAAGGACCAGCCTGCACTGACTCAGATGATGGTTGCCCACTGGTGAATGTGCTGCCTTGCACATCAGGGCGACCGAATGGGCAAGATGCTGAGGGTTGACCAATGGTGACAGAATCAGCATTGGGAGCAACCGAAGGGCCAAACACACCAGTCAAGTATTTGATGCCCATGTCTGTGGCCGTGGAAGCACCGGTCAGGCCAATCGCTGGTGGTGGGAAGGATGTGTTCAGGACCGAGCATTCCTGCCTCATTTTCTCCACCATGTTGGCAAGACCATTTACCACATCCACCGTGGCATTGAAGCTCAGTTGGACGTCAGAAAACTCGGCCCGCATAGAGGAGATGTGGGAGTCAAAGTCGTGCTCTATCGCATCCACCCTAGCAAGGGTGTTGCAGTTGGCCATTTCCATGGCAGCGACTCTAGCCACCAGAGAGACCACACGATCGTGGATAGTCGGTTCGGCTGACGAGGTGGTGGGTTTGGCCACAGGAGCAGGTGGTGGTGGTGGTGGTATGATGGGGGTTTTGTCAGTGACCTCCTGCCAATGGTCAGCAGGAAAGTCTTTCGCCGACGCCATGGCTGCCGGCCAATCGACGGTCTCACTTGGCATCACCGCAGTGACATCAGTCTGCTGCTCGGTATCGGCCGCATGAGACATAGCGACGTCTTCATCAGCCTCAACAGCGACATCTAAAATCAAGGTCAATATTGTTGACCTTTACAAAAAAAAACAGGTGACTCACCCTCATCATCCATGGCGTCCTCAGATTCTACCACAGGCGGTGGTAGACATGCATGGGAGGCCGCCCTTGTTGCCCTGGGCTGCGGTTTGGATGTGGAGACGAGTGGGGCCTTTGACCAAGGACGTGATGACCGCACCGGTGTAGAGACTCGCATTTCTGTGTGCTCATATGGGCTCATTTTATGAATTCTGACAACTGGCCTTCATGGCACAACTCGCACCATCATCCACTATGACTTCCACCATGGAGTGCACCACTTCCTGCGAAACGCGCCATAGGTGCGACACTTTCCCGCACAACACGCAGTATTCCCACATGCGTGCCTTGTGCACTTTCTCGCGCTTAAGCGCCCTGCGTCGTGCATCATCCAGGAGCATCCATCCATCGTCCAACCAGTCCCTTGGTATGTCCCTTTTCGTTATCTGACTATATTTGGCATATTACACTTCCTATTTCATCATGGACCCTTACTTTACATCACTTTACCTCACTTACATACTTAGAGCGCTCCCTATTTGGCTCCGAGCCCTGGGAGAGCGCTTAGGTAGAACTTATATACTCTCATGTTCGTTTTACACCCCACTTTACCACCAGCTTCCTACCACTCAGTATCTATCACCAGTTAGTTCCATGCAATGCATGTGTCCATCATCGTTTTGAGGCCCTAGCATCAGTCTATAGCTAGTGGCACTATCAGTATCCATCTAGATACGCGCTTTTCCTCTTATCAGTCTCAGTATACGTCTTCTACACTTGTGCACTGCTTGCACTACCTTCACTTCGCTTTCCCGCGCTTTCACCGCCATTCACCAGGGTTGTTCAGCATCATTCTGTGGATCCTTGCTTTCCTTGCTTCCCCTTTAGGGTCGAATGTTCTTGCATTCTGTGAGTATAGCAGCTAGGCTGAGCTGAGACTCACTTATACTGGCTGAGCACTTTTCTTATATGTGCCTGCCAGGTTGTGAGACCCACACTGGCTCGGCCATTTCTGGAAGCTTGTGAGGTACCGGTTGGTCGCATTTTACCTTCATCTCATAGCACCTGGCACAGGACTTTGTGATTTGGCCCTTGCGGCCGAGGGCAGCGATGTGGGTAACACAACTAAGGTGAACGCAAGTCAGATGACAAGCAAACACTCTCTATGTTGGGTCTTGATATGCCGTGCGATATGTTCGACCCTTAAGGGAAGCAAAGAAAGCAAGGATCCACGAAATGATGCTGATCAACCCTGATCAAAGGCAACAAAAGGGCGATGTAAGCACGAGAAACGCGCTCAAGGTGCACACGGGAAAGTGAAACGCGAAAAATGCGCGAAGTGTGGGAAGGCGAAAGTGCGAAAGGGCGAAAATGCGCGGAGAACAGGGATGGTAGTGCGAGCAGCGCACAAGTGTAGAGAGACGATAATATGGTGAAAAGCACGGATATAGATGGATACTGATACTGCCACTAGCTTTAGACTGATGCTAGGGCCTTAAGACAACGACGGACGCATGCATTGCATGGAACTAACTGCCCAGTACATGGTGCTAGAAAGATGTGGTAGGAAGCTGTGGTAGGAAGCTCGTCCTGTAAAACGAACATGAAAGTATGTAAGTTCTACCTAAGCGCTCTCCCAGGGCTCGGAGCCAAATAGGGAGCGCTCTAAGTATGTAAGTGAGGTAAAGTGATGTAAAGTAAGGGTGCATAACAAAATACAAAGTGTAATAGGCTAAATATGGTCTGATAACGAAAAGGGACACCTAGGAACTGGTTGGATGATGGATGGATGCTCCTGGATGATGCGTGATGGAGTGCGCTTAAGCGCGAGAAACGCGCTAAGCGCGCGCGCGGGAACGCGAAACGCGAAAGCGTGAGAAAGTGTTGCGCCTATGGTGTGCTTTGCAGGAGAGCTGTGCATTGTATGCGCAAATGACTGGAGACATAGCAGAAGTTGCGTATGGAGTAGGGCGACAAGTGCGAGAGAAATGTGCTAAGTGGGCGTGGGAATGCTGCGCGTTGTGTGTGGAATGACCAGAAACAAGATAGAAGTCGCATACAGATGATGGTGCGAGTCGTGCAGTAAAGGCCAGTTGCCAGAATTCGTAAAATGAGCCCATATGAGCCCACAGAAACGCGAGTCTCTACAGCGAGACATTTGAACTGGGCAGAACACCTCTTACAGGGTGGATCATATTAATTAATCGTTAGTAATCAGTCATGTATAGAACCGGCGAAACTCACCACATCACCCTCGGCGATCGTCACAGCCTGTTCCTTCTCCTTCTCCTTTCCCTTACCCTTCGGCGTTGGTCGGCCAATGCGCTCCTTGGTGTCGGCCTGGATATCTCTGAGTGGTGATGACCGAGGGGACGAGGTGAATCTCACCTGCTTCACCTTCTTGGCGGGGGCTGGAGTCTGAGGCACCGCCGCCTTAGATGGCTAAGGTGCTGTGAGTGATAGAGTAGAAAAAAAATGAATTAGAGGCGCACCTTTACCACAATGATGGTCTTGCCTGGCTGGCCATCATCATCTTCGGTGTCAGAGATGATGGCCTTCAACACGATCCTACGCTTCTTGCGTGAGACGTCGCCCGACTCACCTGACTCATCCTCCCTGGCTCGCCGAGTCCCCCGAACCGGCTGCTTCCCCTTATCGGCCGTCGGCTTGGCAGCCTTGATGGGAAGTGAGTCAATTGGTGGGACCGACATCACCTTGGGAGCTGGGGGCAGGACTGGGACTGGGACTGGGACTGGGACTGGGGTTGGCACTGGCGCCAGTGCAGGTGCAGCTATCATAATGTTAGCAAAAATGGTGCATTGAGAAAGAGGAAGACTCACCAAGCCCTTGTGTCTTGGGGAAGAAGGGGTGTGATTCAAAGCGGGAATCATCCACCCGCACACGTTCCCATTGGGGGACCTGACCGACGTTCATTGTCTCACGAACTTCAGCGGCTGCAGAGAGCAGCAACGGCGGAATGACCGACGCATTCCTGCCGTGTTGCTGGAGTGCTTGTGACTTTAGAGAGGTGAGTATCTTGCAAAGAAAGAAAGAAAGACTTACTACTAGCTTGGCAACTTCATGTGCCTGGTCAACCACCACCCGGCCATCTGACTGAAAGAGTTTGATCCAGTTGAGGTGTGAACGCAATGATTTGTCGGCGACCAACAAGGCATTGTTGGATTGTTGGGCAGACATGATGATGATGATGATGGTGGTGGTGGTGGTGGAGGTGGTGATGATGATGATGATGATGATGATGATGATGATGATGATGATGATGATGATGATGATGATGATGATGATGATGATGATGATGATGTGGGATGTTGACACAGTTATATAGGGAACGACTAGCTGTGGCCTTTGATGTGGACTTAGCAACAGTCAATGCAAATTGAAGTTGTGCCACCACCATGATTAGCCAAAATGAAATGTGGACACAACAATTGACACCGCCGGGTTTCGCCGAGTTGTGGCCTCAGTGGTCTAGTCATCCATTGTTGTATATATACTCCCAACTACAACCATTGCAAGTACATGGATTCTCGTGAAAATATCACTGACAAAGCTAGGAGACTACAGGATGAGCAGATCAAAACCAACAGCAATTTCTTTCTCACGTGGGACCAGTGGGTGCCACCAAAGTTAGGCCCGACTCGATCATTTCCACAGGAAAACCTTCCTGTTGGGTTCAAATACTCATTTCGGCCAAACCGTTCACCACCAACTTGCGCACCCAACAACAACAGGACGAAAGTCACACCATCAACCGTGCCAGTCAGGAAGGAAACCGCCGATGCACTTGCAAAAAAACATTTCGGCAAAGAAGGTAAGTGTCTTATGATATTGACTCGACATTCATTAATATTTGACAATTTTAGTTTTTGATATGTGCTGGAGCACTGAAGCTGAGCCCGAGACATCGGTGGAAACGCCGACCGCCTCATCATCGGCAAAACCCCAGTACAGCGGTGTGAAAGATTAATAGCAACTAGGCTGGTTAGAAACTAGCACTCTTATCCAAATAGGCGCGAGTGTAATATTCGACCCAAGAGGACTGCTATTGAAGCAACTCCCTTAAAAATACGCAAGGGTAGCGATGATGCAAAGGGCTGATAACCTATAGCGACCTAAGACCAAAAACCAATGAGTAGTGCTGTAGCGATCAGCGACTAGCGACAAGTGAGTTCCGACAGAGAAACGTGCGTATAAGTAAGTAGCGCTATGCAAGTTGTCCTATGCGACGTCCGACTAGCGACAGCAAGAAGAAATCAAAAGAAGGGAAAGCAAGGGATAAGGTATGATAGCGCAAGTGGAATGCCCGATAGCGACGAGATTATAGCTCGACTACTGACAGCGATCCCGACATTGCGAAGATCAAACTTATGAAGGAACTTTAGCGACACGCACTCGAAGCAAGTCAAGTGACACGCGGTCAGAGAGATTGGCAAGAGCGGAATCGATTTGCACCAAAAACTAGGATATAGCGACTAAAGTGACTTCGATACCAGCAAAGGTCCGGGGAAGGGAAGTACTGTACTGTATGTGCAATGGGTCATTTTATCATACTGCGTAAAAGTTCGGGAATGCGTAGGCGAGAATAGTAGCGACACTGATGGAGACACGATGTAGCGACAGGTAATAAGACATGCAGCGCAGCGGAACATGAGGATGCATGTAATAAGACCTGCAACTGATGAGTAGCGACGTTTAATGAAAAATAATGCACCAGCGGAGGTAGGTGGACATAGGCAGGACATGGGAGGACAGAATACCTAGGCGTCAGGCCGGACAGCGCGCTATGGGAGAAAAGCGGTTCCAAAGCAGATAGCTTGGGAGCTGAATAGCGCTGGTGACTAGCGCTTTACTCTTTTCCTCAAGGTAAGGCAAATTGTGCCTATGACACTCATACGCGCCTAGCGCTGGTATGATTGTCACAGCGGTCAAAGTAAGTTCATGTCATCTTCTATTCTCAATCTCATGGATATGTACTAATACATTGTTATTCTAGCATTTGAGATGTGCTGGGACGTCGAAAGTGATCCAGCGCCCACCGTCAATGCACCAGTCAGTGCACTGGTCAATGCACCAGTCAGTGCACCAGTCAATGCACCAGTCAGTGCACCGGTCAATGCACCGGCCGAAGCATCATCGGCCAACACAGACTATGGTGGCCAAGGTAAGTCTTGTGCCAGTCGCATAGCTTGAGTCATTGCTCACAGGTATATGTTAAGACTGTACTCAAGTAGTATCGGATCCGAAGGGCTTCGGCCTCAGCTCGTGCGCTGTGCCCCTTTCCTGAGTCTTGCCCCTTATTTCAGAGTGCTAGAGTATCGTGTCTAGTGAGACGGATAAGTATCGTATCAGATCCATTAAGGCTTCTGGATATTGAACATATAGAGTAACGGCTAATCCAGATCGGATCTGAACTAGAAACTAACGGGTGAAGACTGTCCGAAGACAGAGACGGATATATAGACTATAGGAATCAATCCTAAGTCTCGGAGTAGACAAGAGTATCGTACTCAAGTCCGGACGGATAACGGAGGGACTTAGAGTCCAGGCAGAATGAGTGCAATCTAAGATGATATTCAAACTGATCTACTACAGCGCATGTACAAGGGTTTATATACTACGGATAACTAATGGAATGATCAATAAGCAAGGACGCGAGGCTATGTACGAAGTATAAGCAAAGTATGTGTACAGCATATTGGTAAGTCAGATGGATAATGAATCATAACTGGGAATGAAGTATAAGCTAAAGCGGATCAGTAAGTGTAGTGGATCAGTAAGCATAACGGAAGTAAAGGATAACCGGTATACCGGTGTACAGGAATGCCAAAAGGAGATGAACGATAGTTAGAGTTATATGAACAGGACATGAAATAAGGATTAGATCGGATCTGTGGACCGGACGACGGATATGTCCATCGGATCTGGATCAGATCTGAGATCCGGATCTTCGGATCTGTACCCAGGAATATGGTATATGACAGTATATTAGATTACAATATGTGTTGGAACCCCGATACTCCTCCAGCCGCAGGTCCATATGCCCTTTGTTGGGATGAGCCGAGCTCATCACAGGTAGGCTCGGTCCCTGCAATCACTGTAGAAGCAGCCACACCACTGGCTGCCGCTACATATGATGTTTGCTGGGATGGGGACCCTCAGTCGACAACAGCCGATGTAGGCCACCCGTATGACATGTGTTGGGATGACCGACCGGCAACCTCGGCCGCAGGATACCAAGGTGAGTATCGGTGGTTTGTGTCAGTTGCTTCGACTCATTTGCAGGTGGTTTTGACATGTGCTGGGGAGATGCCCAATTAGGTGGAGATGGTGACTGTGAAGGTCATCTTACTGCGGCGCCCACCACCGGCTCGGTTAACTCAGGTCGGTCGGTCGTTTTGACACGGCACAGATGATGCTAACTATTACATGCAGGGGTGAACAACTCAGAATCACCTGGGAGTCAAGATATTCAGGCATCACTGGCACCCTCTTCAGCACCAAGCGAAGGCTCGACAATAACACAGGTTGAAGCTGGGGAGGAATTGTTGCGCCGAGCCGACAACCGGCTGGACAGACTTTGCGCCATCCTGAGTGAGTTAATGGCTTCCCTGCCCGTTGCTGTCATAATGTTGACCACCATTGTAAAGGAGATAATGAAAGCGAGGCTGTCACGGAGATCATCCGTGCCAACCAGGCCTTGATCACAAATTATCAAAACGCCCGCAACCAATATGTTACCGCCACCAATGATATGGCCAAGATTCAACACATGCTGCAAATGTTCAGGCAGATTGATGATCCACTGACTGTCTTGGAGCTAGGTAGGAAGAAAGCAGGCGGCTGACATTGACATATGCACAGTGTAGTGTAGTGTAGTGTAGTGTATGTAACATGTAACAATAACAAATGTGTACTTATGACCGTTGACCAATGACCAATGACCAATCCAAGTTCGCTGAATTAGATGTAGTCGGTATACCTCTTGGGCTTTTGCCGAGTGTGTGTGACTTGTGTATTCTCAGCATTGCTCCTGGTGCCTTTTGCTGGTGCATCAGAGGGAACACCGGGGGCAAATCTGGCCTACTTGGCCTTCCTCAGTGCACAATCTCTGGTAGCGGGCACATTCTTTGGCTGCCTCTCTTGCACCACAGGAGATGCATCTCTGGTAGCCCTTGTCTGTGTCAATGCTGGTGGCTGTATCATTGGCGATGCACCAAGGTGTTCCAGACCTCGGCAAGTTTCGATACCCCGGCGAGTTGACCTTGGGCCGAAGGAGTGGGTAACATGGCTGGCTTCAGTTGACTGATCTGATTCCTCAGTTACATGAGGTACAGAAATATTGGTCTTTGCTGTAGGAGGTGTTCAGTGATGGGAGACCGATGGTTGGTCTTTATGACCTCTGGCACGCTTTCCAAAGCTCTTTGGCACCAGTTGGTCATCAGACCAGTCGGTGTCTTCAGCATTTGCACGGCCGTGCAGGCATTGTTGGACTGCTGGTGGAGATGCCTCTGCTTCGGTCTTGTCACATTCTTCCTCGATCGAACTGATGTAGGGTCGCTTGGTGGAACTCAGCCGCCCTTTGGGAATTGAGGTTAGTGACGATGTTGTGGTCACCAATGGCTTTCTTGTCGGTCTTGCACTGGTACTCTCATCATCAGCATCACCATCAGATTCATCCTTGGCAACAGGAGAACACATTATGCCCTTTTCATCCATCCAGGCTTTGAATCTGAAGGTTGGTCCAACCTGGGTTTCCTGTCAGTCCCACCAAAAGTTCCAAGATTGCATTGGCATCAGTGCAGAGCATTTTGGATGGCTCCAAGATCTTGGTATCATCAGATAGGTATGTGCTGGAGATAAATCTGGACTGCCCCTTCATGATGTCGCTCCAGGGCACTGGGACCTTGGGCTTTCCACAACATGTTCCTGTTCCAGCCGGCATCAGATGATAAAATGGGTATCGGTCATCTGGCTTACTGTAATGAATGGTAAGGAATGACCGAATCATTGCCTTCTTGGTCTCGAGGGATAAATTGTCCATCTCGGGCAACATCGGCGAACCCGAACTGGTCCAGCTTGAATTCATGGTATGGTTTTGGGACCTGCCGAGTGCCTCCGAGCAGTGTGGCGTCCTGGTCTTGATCATGGTCTTGGAGACATGGATTGAATACAAGTCTTTCTGAAAGGACTGGAGAGACTCACCAAATGCATCGCCAATGAAATCTTCCCATACTGGTAGGATGGCCTGCCAGTCCTTGCCTTTCATGAAGCTGGATCCCTTACCGAGCTGCTCATTGAAGTCAAACCTGCAACAACCAAAGTAAGCACAATGACCGACCGACCTGACCGACGAGTGACTGGAAGAACTCACCCAGATGTAAGCAGCCCCCCCTTCTCATCCTTCCAGGAACCCAAAACAAAGACTCTCATACCGGCCTGAGTAAACATTTCTTTGGCGAAGTTCTTGACCATTTTTTCGCCCTTCTTCCTAGCTGTCTTGGCCTGGACAGCGGCATCGGGGGCTTGATTCGTCCACTTATCAGCCTTTGCCTCAGCTTCCTGCAACTCCTTTTTGTCCAGCCGGTGCATGATTGCCGTCATGGTCGGCTGATACCTCCTCAGTACTTCCTTGTGAGCAGGCTTCTCTCCAGTCTCTTCCTCAATTTCTTCCCAAATTTGCTGAAGAATCTCGGCCTTGCACTCTTCCTCAATGACTCGCCGTGCCGTCCATTTCTTTTTTGGCTTGGTGGGTGCTTTGGAATTGGTCTGGACCTTCTTGTGATTGTGGAACCACTGTCGGTATGTCTGTCCAGGGTGACTGAAATGCAGCATGACTCGGTGTCAAAGACTAAACACTTACATATTTCCTTTCCTTCAACAGCTCTTTGTCCATCTTTGGAGCCAAGACCTTGGCCTCCCTGGCGGCTGCTTTGAATATCAGTTGTCGTTCCTTCCCACTTGCCTTCTCCCAATCCTCAATATGGGACTGCAGAGCGGTGGTCTCTCGGTCATTCAACCGAGGCTGAACACCTGTACTCCTCTTTGTCCGAGCCATGTCACAGCAGGTATGTAGGAGAAAAGGACCTGAAAAGAGGAGACCAGTTGATACGGTGGATGGAATGAGCCAAAAAAAATGCAGATGTGTCCTGTGAGTAATGAGTGACATACCCGATGTCATAAGTGCACGTAAGGGTTAGATTGTGCCGAATAGTAAGAGCACCATTGCTACAAGACTTATCGAGCAGTGTAGATGCATGTGTGGGTCTGCAGAGTAGAAACAGAGGTCATAAAGTGCTCTAGACATATCGGCGATCATATACTTATTAATTGTGCCATTCGGTATCACTCCTGATGATGCAAAGAGATCAAAGTGACTATTACAACGGATGCATTGCATCTGACAGTCACATGTAAGCACCAAACCGTCCAATAGTCTAAGCATATTGTTTAAAACAACTCATCCACACAACAACAGCACATCTGTGTTACATGGTCAAGTCAAAGCCAAAGGCCTGGAGTCCGCCGAAGACATCCTCATTGGTTAGATGGGAGCACAAAAGAACTTCTCGAGGAGATACAGGACAATTTGTCAAAGCTAAACATTACAACAAAACATCTTCCGTTAATTCATCACCCAGGAAATCACCTAGCAAGCAAGGATCCACCAGAGGACATCACGCCGAGGGTGACTATGAGCACCATGATCTCGGAGTAATCAACTTGGAGCCTTGTAGACTTCACAAGTCCATGGCAAGCTCATCATTCATTCAACTGGTCTCATTTTCTGACACCGAGTATCAAGAGTCAAAATGACTATCTACGTGAGTGGCAGTACAAGACTGAGGACTACTTGGACTTGCTCTGTCTGCCCAAAGGACGGAGTCTACAGATGTCACGGCTGTATGGATGAGCCGCTCTTCTGCACTCATTGCTGTAGGACAGTTCACAGCTGCATGCCATTCCATAGGATCAGTCAATGGACTGGGGGATTCTTCGAGGACACTTCCTTGACCAAGATAGGGCTGGAAATTCACCTCGGTCACCAGGGAAAGCCTTGCCCAGAAGTGACCGATGATTGGTACGACACAGATGATGAAGGAGACAATTTTGCTGAAGGTCAGTGGGTACCTTTGGTCAATGACCCCTGGACGACTACAGTGGTGGATACATCAGGCGTCCACTCCCTAATGATCAGATTCTGTTCGGTGCGCCAGTGCACTTGGTCCCGACATGCAACTATTTGAAATCAGCCTCTTCCCAGCATCTTTCACTTCGCCGAAGACAGCGTTCACATTTGCGGTGTTGGACGACTTCCTGTTGGATAACCTGGAATGTGGGACGTCGGCGATGAACTACTATAGCAAATTAAGGTGAATCACTTCAAGCGTATTCCCGCATCTGGTTCCAGTAAGTGACATTGATGTGCTTGATTGCATCGCTCACAATGGCCAAAGGACTGATACAGAGAATTGATGAGGGTGGGCAGGCAGTGGAGACAGCTGAAGCAGCTCAAGTGGCATGGGTTCAGGCCATGAGAAGCAAAAGCCAAAGGCAGGGGAGCTTGCACTGTTCTGTCCTGCATGTCCGCAGCCCGGGGTAAACGTCAATTTGGCAGAAAGGAATGTGTCCTGATCCTGCATGGCTATATTCGAGATCCTTGGTGATGGATGGCAACTTCAAGGCCTGAGCATCTGTTTCCGGCGAATCTGACCGATGAGGTGGCATTGACCGATGGCCTTGGATTTATGGTCGGCGATGGCCGATACAAACTGCATCTCGCCGAGGCACAGGATATTGTACATCGGTCAGACTGCAACAACCACCGAGCTGTCAATCAGGCTGAACGCTTCATGTCACAAGCTTGAAGCAACTGGGATTGGCGGTTGTGCATGCACTAGACATGGGTGTTTTGTACCTCATTCAATGGTGGACTTTCAAAAGGGGGAAAGGTTCGCCGATCAATATCTTCATTTGCCCTATGTGAACTGATTTATCGGTTGGTCAAAGGCAGATGAACATGGATTATGCGCTGTGTCAAGCTCTGGGGTACAACACTGATGGGATCGACCGGGCATTGACGTTCTATGACATCAATTGTCAATACCACAAGCATCTCGACCAGCGGGTTGAGGAGTCGCCTTATCTTGACCTTCCGTGGGGCATGGAGGTAATCCCTGGCATCGGTCTCTGGCATGTCCACGGCCATCAAGACAAATGCTACGTACGGTATGCATCCAACTTCATCACCGGCGCTGCCAGGATCGACGGCGAAATCATGGAGACCCTGTGGGCACCCTTGAACATCATATCACCGTTGGCGAGAGGAATGTCCACCCCCCACCGAAAGGAGTGTTTGGATTTTCAAATGAATGACTGTAATTTTATGAAGATGATACGGATGAGTGAGCCAGATCGTTTGACCAAGGTGCAAATCTAAATACAGATAGGCAAATTCCTTTGCCGAAAATTCAAGGAGGCCGTGCAGGGAGTCTGAGACAGCCAACACGCATTTGACCGATTGAGTGAGACCGCCGATCATGATACCCTTGTCAAATGGGAAGCAGAGGCTGCCTCCGCTCAGGATGACCGACTCGAAAATCCCAGCGCCATGGATATATATGAAGTTAAAATGACAAAAGGTCTGTGGCAATATAATCACAATTTACTATTGGCTCATGTTGATCTGCAAAGCACCGACAAGGAAACAACAAGAGTTGCATCTGTTGACCCGACAGGCGAGATGGCCAGCCGGTGAGATCCATCGCAGGTGCTGCGACATGGCTGGCATCTGGAATAACACTGGAGGAGGCACAAGTTGCGCTCCTGATTGATGTGAAGAAACTTGGAAGGCGGCCGACCGATGCTCAGAAGCTGGCAATAGCTCGGCGCCACGACAGAATGCAAGGTCAAATAGATGAATTCGTCAGGGTGGCAGTGACATTTCTCGGCGATCAACTGGATGAATATGATCAGTTGGACCTCATGACCATGATGTTGGATGCTGCAGAACTGGATTCTGCTGGGTCATCATCTGACGATCCTGATCGGCCGGACGACTAAAGACCGATATGATACGCCGGTCAAGTTCACTCCCTGAGACCCTGGTGATTCCACTGCCCTCGAACATAGGGATTGAAAGATGCGCCGAGTGGGGGCATCGCCGACCTGGTGCTCCAAGAAATATTATTGAGAGAAGGTCAAGCCAATGACGCATTGCATGCCATCAGGGTTAACTTGGCCGACAAGGCTGTTCTCTTCCGCACCACGGTCCGGTCGGCGAAGTCACAAGCTCGGTCAACTCGTGCATGGGCCCGGGTGCACTCGGTGGACAAGATCCTTCACTTAAATGTACAGATATACTCCAAATGTCGCAGCCAACTCATTCACCTCGGCGCCAATGACTTACTGGCCAAGTTTTGGCCATTGGAGAAGGCCGACCTAAAGGCTACTACGGTGGTGGCAGACCCAAATGCTCGATGGGCAAAGGAATAGCACGTTGGCGTGGTTCTGGTCCATTGATGTTCAAGGAGATTCCACCAGCAATGACTGGATGAATGAATGTATGTATGCTCATTGCCTATGTACCTGTACCTATCCGATGTCAATATTTTTTGCACTACAGTTTACCGTGTCCATTGGCTTAGAACGCTGGCACTGTGTGATAGATGGGCAGAGGAGCTCCTGCTGGTCGGTCGGGAAATGATATGGACGGTTGATTTTTTTCTTCACAAATCACAACGATGGGTCGGCCGAATGCAAGAGGCCGATGCAAACCAGAAGGTCGGTCATCGGTGCTATGCGGCTCGCCAGGCTCGAATTTATCTCCGACTCTCGCAGCAAGCCCAAGATAGCTTTGAAAGGACAAAGGGGATGGCGAGGGTGGCAGAGTGACCGGGGTCTACAGTGCCACAACCGCATTCGGGCGGTGGTAAGTGCCATAGTGGGCCACAGTGGATTAGTCAATTATATATAACCTTGTGATTCTGCATTTATTACATACAACTTGTCCTTGCTCCAACCATCATGTCCAATTCATCAAAATATGATTTGACCGAATTTACAATCTTGGATGCTACCAACATCCTAGAGTACGCCACTTCTCGTTTTGCGGCCATCTGGATTGCCTGTGACCGAAGCCATGTGCCTCGGTCGCCGGCTTACATAGCCAGCTTCGTCCGGCACCTTCAGTGGGAGGCAGATGTAAGTTCTTCAGCCATCGGCTGTGTCGGTCGGTCGGCGTCATGTAATAACTAATCCATCCTTCAGACATTTGTCTTCCCATACATCAACATATGCATGGTGCTCAATACTCACCCGACCATGACCGACCTCCTCCGCAGCATCATCGGCAGATTCACCTGTCTCCAAACCAGGAACATCACCGGCGAGCAGTTCTGTGCCGAATTCTTCGCGCACTGTTCCCCTCATGACCCTGAACTGAGATCAACTCACAGAGTAGTTCTCAAATATGCTCATGATTGGTGGAAGGATCGTTTTGATACCTTGGGATTCGCCTTGCCGTCCTTGGATGTCAATGAAGTCTTGGATATGATGGCAGATCACTTTGAGCAACTGGTCGGTCATTTCTCTTTTATGCTCAACTGCTACTGATTCTCATTTGTAGCCTATGGGAGCAATGCTTCTGCCCGGCCCTGCAGTCGCCGGTCAAGTGGAAGGTGATCCCCTCCTCAATCAAATTCTGGCAGTGAAGGCCCGTGTCCAACATCTCGGCGATTCATTAGAAAGGATGTTGCAGGAGAAGACCATGAAGGCCGCGGCGGCCGCAACAACCATGTTCCGAACTTGAAGGGCCCATGGATCAGCTGGAGGAAGCAGCTCTTAACCTCCCGCCGGCCATGAGTCAGCTGCTAGTTATTGCACCAGTAATATTATGTATTATACCGCAAATATGAATAGTATTACCTAATGTGATTTGGTCAGTGTGTATATGAGCCATCGGTCTCTGATTTTCCTTGTTCTCCAGTCATGACTGCAGTTCCAGCCGACTGTGCGTTGTATACCACATGCATTGCTAGCGAGTTTGTGAAACAGCTGTTTGATTGCAATGTAGCTGGAAACGCACAGTCAATCTCGCCTCCCTTGACAATTGATGTGCCAACCATGCTTGCTTGTCAGCATCTGGCCCAGGTGCTCGCCGATGCCTATTCAAACCCAAGTAGGCCATTCCTACCATTCGCTCGGTCGTTGCCTGACCCATTTCAGTCCAACTTGACCTTGATATGATTAGGTACAATGAGGCCCTCCATAAACGCTCTACCGGGATGGTTGCAACACATGAAGATTCCCTGCTGAAAAAATTTCCTCGTGGGCCAGAACGTTTGCTGGAGAAGCCCTCAGGTCATTTTGGACTCGGCCAGTCATATTATCTTGTGGTACCTTCCAGATGCCATTAGCCCGTGGATTCAAGTGAGCTGATTATTATGACCCATCGGCCGACTGATTCGCCGACTTCACAGGCCGAGATGGAAGACGCTACAATTGGTATGGGGTCCCTTCTGATGAAAAGCATGACCAGTGGTCTGGACACCCAGTGGAGAACATTCCCCGGTAATTTTCATGCCAGCGACCGACGCCAATTGACCCCAGGATGTATCAATTTAGCCCCTTGTTGGTTCATGCAAGGCCGGGAGGTCAGTCTGCTTCTCCACCCGAATGCTAATGCTTATGTCGAAATTTTAGCCACACGGATTACCACCGGCCGATGGATTCACCCCCAAGGTGTCGGCCGCCCTGAAAGGGAAAGGTGGTCCCGAGATTATAATCTCTATGCAGCGCGCAGCACTACTGGCCTCGGCTGCTCTTAGGGTGATGCATCCAAAGTTGTATTGGGCGTTGGCCACTACACATATCAAACTTGCCCGATGGGCAGTGGAACGTGGCCTCAGTGATATGAGCACTTGCCTGCAATTTTGGGCCTCGGTGTTTAATTGTGCAGCTGTAATTTGCAACAGACAATGTCCTCTTCACCGAGATCCAAGTTCTACTCTCGAAGGGTTTGATGTCATGAGCAGTGTCAGCCATTATTGTAACGGGCTCATGACATTATCTAACCTCGGTATTCGGTTGCAATATAACTCGGGCGCTATGGTCGGCTGCTCTGGCCACTTTGTCAGGCATGGTGTCACATACACCGGCGATCACATTGTGTGGGCGTGGTTCATACTGTGACAGCCTTCAGAATTTTGTGGGGACACCTCGGCCATCGTACGCAACTTACATGGGTGTAGACTAATATGTTTCTGTCTCGGCTTACATAGCGCAGTGATTGTATGATAATAACCAATGGTTTTAACCGACCAACCGGTCCATCCTATAGCATCATGTATTCAGTTACATATTGGCCCATATGATAACATCAGTTCTGTCGGCCGACCTGATGCTATCAGGTATTCAGTATTCTCGGCCCATATGATAATGTCAGGTATGCAGTTTCATCAGCCGACCTGACGGCATCAGATATACCTTTCCGTCGGCCCATACAACAACATCATGTATTCAGTTTCATCGGCCCATAAGTTTGCATCAGTACCATCGGCCGACATGATGGTGTCAGCTATTAATACATACATGATGCCCTCATGTTGGCCGAAAGACCTGATACCATCATGTCGGCCGAGTATACTGGATGCCTGATATTATCATATGGGCCGACAAAACAAATACCTGATGCCATCATATCGGCCGATAGACCTGATACTATCATGTCGGCCAAATATACTAAATGCCTGATATTATCATATGGGCCGATGGAAATGAATTCCTTATACCATCAGGTCGGCCGATGGCACTGATGAAAACGTATGGGCCGACAAAACTGAATGCCTGATGTTATCGTATGGGCTGATGGAAATGAATTCCTGATACCATCAGGTCAGCTGATGGCACTGATGAAAACGTATGGGCCAACAAAACTGAATGCCTGATGTTATCGTATGGGCCGATGGAAAGGTATACCTGATGCCATCAGGTCGGCCGATGCAACTGCCTGATATTATCACATGGGCCGAGAATACTGAATACCTGATGCTATCAGATCGGCCAATGAAACTGATGCGAACGTATGGGCCGACAAAACTGCATATCTGATGCAATCACATCGGCCGAGAACATGAATACCTGTTCATGTCTCTCAGCCCATATGATGGCATCATACCCACAATTGCCAGACCAATCCGCACAGGAACATATATGCTTCACCCCCGTCATCGGCCGGATGAGACACTTGCCATCGGCCGATCGGTACACACAGTAGCTATAGTGTGTGGGCCCAGCTGACAATATCACACCACCGATTTTACTGGCCCTCGGCCGATATGTTAATGTCGAGCATCCCAATGCATGGGCCCAGCTGTTAAAACCATCACTCCATGAGCCCACCGGCCGAATGTTAAACACAGACATAGATATTCGGTTGGCCGACGTCCGCTGGCCTGTGTGGAACAGCATATTTTCAACATTTGCTGCATGTATAATACATGCAATGTGACTGAATGGGCTCCAATGACACTATACCACCCATCACATACTGTATATGTTCCCTCTCGAGTCCACAGTGATTCTTACTCATTTACCTTACTAATATGCTGGATTGTTAATGTCATTTGCCTTGATCTTATAATTTCATTCAATAATAGCATGAATCAAATATGTGAATATGAGTAATATCAAAGGATTTTGTACAGTTCAGTATGGCTCTGTACTGTGCACTACAAAGCCTATATAATACTAACCAGTATGGATATGTTTGCACAACATCTGTACTGCATACAAGCTTGTACAAAGTTGCACATATAGGTCCCTATTTGTACAGAGGCTGCACAATGTTGTACAAGACTGTATGGTACTGTGTAGCCATTAAAAATTACAGGTCTGTGCAGTTTTGTACAAAGTATCATCATTGTACAGGGGATAATCAACTATATAACAAGCTCACTCTGTATAGTTCTGTACAAGAAGCTTGAGCTGTACAATAGTTTGCATTGTACAGTGAGGTACAGTGATGTACAGTTTCTGTACATCACTATACAATGGGGGACCTTGCTGTAGTGCTGCCTAGCTATGTACAATATTGTATGTGATTGTACACAAGGGGGGTGAATTGCTGGTGCATCCAGGAAGAAAAATTTTCGAATTTGTTAACACATGCCTTATGCTTGATGTTCGAAGACCTCTGCATGAGCTCATGCCCAAGGTGCGATCATGGAGAAAAAATCATTGTAGACAGGTTTCGAACCTGCACGATCCAACAGGAACAGATTTCAAGTCTGTTGACCACTTCAAGTTGGCCATGGGTCTCGTGGTTGATGTTCGAAAACCTCTCTATGAGCTCGTGACCAGGGCGATGATGGAGAAAAACCATTGTTGGTGGTTGTGTATATTGTTATACTAGGATGAGTTTCTAAGCCGCCGAGGAATGAGGCGGCATAGAATTTAGTCTACACGGAGTGGCTCTACACTGAACACCCTTTTCGCACCTTGCTGAAGTCCACCGACCCCTAGGGTAGGCCGCTGTTAACATTGGGAGGGAAGGGCTAGTAAAGCGGATTGGCAGCGGTTTCGAGCCTGCAAAAGCTCTCTTCAGGGGGCTGCCGCTACCCCTACCGCTTGTACTTCTAGTTCTACTTAGAAAGTCTCTCCTTCTTAAGCCTTGTTTCAATGGGAGTAAATAAATCGTCCGAAACGGGGTTCCGTGCGATACGGCGGTCCGTGCACAATCTATGACCCATCGATGGAGAAGTTTTACAGGTTGGGGCCAATCCTTATCGTAGATGAATAAGTCTTATGAGTCTAGGCCTTGAGCTCCGGGACTTCGGGATTTTATGATCGAGTCCGTATAGAATAGTGTGCGCATAGATGAAGCGAATCAGGTTGTAAGGCTGAGTGTGAGTTCGGCAGGGAAATGCGAACGGAAAGAGATAGAGAATAGACGTGTTGGTAGGAAACACGAAAGAAGAGGGAACTAGGACTAGAGAGGAGAGCTTTTCGGTCTTTCTTGAAGCGAGAATCTCACTGTAAGATTTGCTGTAGATATGAGTGTACACGGGCGGTATATATACGTTTTCAAATACTTGACTAGGCCGGAACGAGCGTGAAGAGCATGTGGCGAGGTGAAAATACTTCGGTGAAGAAAGGGTATCGTGAATTCTGAGCACAAGGTGGAATAACGAAAGAGAGCGAAAGGAGAAGTAAGAGAACGTATCCACGTAACTCGGATGCGAAGAGTTGCGCTCTTCGCATCAATAAGTCACGTGGACGACTTCGACCGCGTGGTTCGAGCGTCTTGTTTTGAAGCTTGGTCGGCGCGTAGAGAACATACGATCCTTACAAGGTCGAGAAGCGCCGTCGTGCAAGCTCATGGTGTGCTCGTAAGGCGTCAAAGAGGGAGCCAATATCCGTTGGCTCGTCACACGGTGGGCGACTCAGTCTGTTGGTGATGGACTCGGAGTACGGACAGAACCACGCCTTGTGTGCTGGCTGCCATTGTTGACATATACTCGCTGGCTGGGGAGAGGCAGGCACGACGGCGGAATAGGGTCATCAGCGGATGATGTGAGACGGTGGGCAGATAGACCTTGGACGGCTGACGCGCGTTGGCCCGAAAGACGCCGACAGAGACCTGCACGCGGAGTCTGCGTCGAGTCCATATATGATATGTATAGACTGTCCAATTCCTGGACGTCCTCCCAAAAGTGATTGGGCAATTTGCTGTGTCGTGAGCAGTCTGAAATTCTGAAACTTGCTACAAAAGAGAGCAATGACTTGAATAGGGTCAAGCCATGCTGTCCACCGTTTGTCATATATAGAGCAAGAGGGACGGGTTACTTGAGCTGCAAAGCAGGATGGAACGAGCAATGGAGAAATTTTCAAAGCAAGAGGGTCGACGTGGTGGTAGCCGCAGGACGTTCGAACAAGGAATATGGTACCTTGAGTTCGAGTCAAAGTTGAGTCAAATATTTTGAATCGGTACTCAGTAACGAAGTTCAAAAGAAGCCGATAGCTTTAGATACTAACACAGATAAACAATTTGGTGTCAAAAAAAATTATGATATAATAGTATCGTGTTAAGTGGTTTTCAGTGATGACTTGTACACCTCTTCCGCCAGCACGTACCTCCGCAACTGAGACACGATCGATGGATTTTACGATTCGGTACAACCCTTGGAATGTACCCCACATTCCTGCACGCGACGATACCATATCATTACTCGGATGTTGTACGTATCAAGGCAGACTTGCCACTACGCTGTCCTATCCCCAGCTTCTTGTGCATGCAATATCCACTTCATTAAACTGTGGCATCGTCGATTTACCTTGGGCAATCTCATCCGATTCAGGCTGACTGTTGCCCACAGTCAATTTGTTGCTCCTCTACGTTGAAAACCTTACTACATAGTCGATATGGATTGACCAAGCGGCAATATTGAAGATAATAATGCTAATCAACAAGTCGGGCACAGTGGAATCTATTGAATTCAAATTGTACTATCAGATCTAGATTACATCTCCGCGGTCTCGGATACCCTGGAGTTCTGCCGTGGGCCAGGCACACCAGTTTCGCCGACAACATTAAGTGGTGGTTGGAGTCGCGAGGTTGACACCTTTCGGGTACGAGCACATGCCAGTGTGGATCTGTCCTATCGAGTGTTGAGCGTCGACGTCGATGCTAGAATGTTGGCCTTCAATTGGTGAATGGATCTACGCTGGTAGCAGGAGCTGTCTTCGCCGACTTAGATGGGCGCGCCAGCCTGAGCGTCGTGATGAGTCATGCATTTACTTGCATTGGACAGTGGTACGCATACGACATTAAGAATCGCTAATATCAACGCTTCACAAATTGTCTGATGACAGGATGAACTATGCTAGCCAAATGTATTGCAAGCGAGTCCCCATTCGCATGTCCGTCGGAATGGTTGTCTAGGTGAACATGCGAAAGTATTGTGCAATCTGGTATGACTGTTCAACAGAGCGCTCTTCACGGCTTCTCTTGATGGTCATATGACTCATCCGTAACCTTCGCACACCAGCATCACTCCGCATCTGGTCACAGGTGGCACATCAATTGGCAGGGCTCCGACGGACAATAAACAATGATCAAACAAAAATTGGCAGGGAGGGGTGCTTAAAAGTCACTCTTCACTTTGAATGTACCGCAACTTACGATGAATTCTCTCCGATTCTTCTTTGTGCTCATCCCACTGCAAGAACCCAACGTAGGGCTCGTCCTCAGTGCTGCAGTTTGTCTTGCTGTAGTGGGTGTAATTTTTTGGGCTTCCCGTCCTAAATCAAAAAGTGGCCTTCCTCTTCCACCTTCCCCTCCCACTTGGAGACTTCAAGGGCACGTCCTACCAACTCGCAAGTAAAGTGTCCCATTTGACTCTTCGAGTTTTGAATGCTGATTGTGTCCTATCTCCGACAAGACCTTTCCTCACCATAGCAGGATGGATTGACGAGTACGCTCCTTTGATTACTATTCGATTAAAATTCGAGCGGATCGTTATTATCGGCCGTTACAAAGTCGGTCCCTGTATGCTGCATTATCATATCCCGGCTCAAGAATGTTCCGTTGCAGGCCGCCGTAGAAATTATGGAGAATCAGGGAAAATTTCTAGCTGATCGTCCTCCCATGATTGCTGCTGGAGAGTTATTTAGCGGCGGAATGAGCATTGCCTTTATACCTTTCGTGGACCGGTTCCGTCGCATGCGTAGGTTAGTAGTCTGCGATACATCCTCTCACCTACCTTGCCTTTCAATGTGATACAGAGCACTTCATTCTCATCTCCAACCTAAAGCAGCTGAGGCATATCAGCCACTGCAGATGTCACACGCGAAGGACATAGTTCTTGGCGTTCTTGATAATCCACACAACCTCCGGCACCATGTGATAACGTAAGCGCTGTCGTTCATAATAGTATCAGTACTTTGCTTACGGTTACTTTGAAGTTATGCTGCGACGACAATTATGAAAATTGCATATGGGAAGAATACGCTCACGTCTGCGACTGATCCCGAAGTCATTGAGATGCATCAAATTGTCAGGATGGCTACTGGGATAATGCGCCCTGGTGCTTATCTGGTGGAGTCGATTCCGTGGCTCAAACATCTTCCTTGGTATGGGCGAGACTTAAAGCTGGGGTTTGAGAGGAGTAAGAAACTCAACCTTGATCAGCTAAACCGCGTGAAGGAGCAAATGGTATGCATTTCCTTGAATCCTGACTTCACGTCTGAGTCGCTCCACAGCATAGCGACGTGGATATCGGCCCCTCGTTCACGAAATATATGCTAGAAAATAGCCAATCCTATGGTTTGGCAGAGACCGAGATGGCCTTTCTTGGTGGTGCCTTTTTTGGAGCTGGATCAGATACGGTGAGGTGTTATTTTGTTGCTTCCGAAGATATGTGACTGAAATCAGAGGCGAAAGACTTCTATGTCGATATGCACGGTACTCATGGCAGCCGCATGTTTCCCCGAGGAGCAAGCTAAAGTTCAGGCCGAGCTCGATGCGGTCATTGGAAGGCACCGAGGTAGCTAGATTGACTTCCGTATTACATTGCTATGGATTCAATAATTTCCGCGCTAAAGCGCCGACCTTTGCCGACAAAGAGTCCCTTCCACGCCTGCGAGCATTTATCTCTGAGGCTTTAAGATGGCGACCTGTGGCTTCTGGCGGTGGGCATCTTTATTTTCATTTTGTGCCTAGGTGTCACAACATTCACGCTGCAGGACTGGCTCACCGCACAACCAAGGACGTGGTTTGGGCAAGTGATCTTTGAACAAGCAATTGCACAAATGATGATTTGGCCCATCAGGACAACTACTGTATTCCAGCTGGGACTACGGTGTTCGGCAACCATTGGTAAGCAACGTGCTTCAATAAACCAGAGATCTAACGGTCACCGCCTTAGGTCTATTTCTCGGGATCCAGATGTCTACCCGGAGCCTTATGCGTTCAAGCCTCAACGCTGGATTGACGACGAAGGTGGCCTGAGAGACGATTTAAAATTCTTTGTCTACGGCTTTGGTCGGCGGTCAGTACTGTGACTCTGCCACCTGTTTTCTGAGTGACATTCCTTTCAGCGTATGCCCCGGTCAACATGTCGCGGACAGGTAAAACTATCTTGCACGCATCCAGTCTTCCAAACTCATTTCGGTTGGTACAGATCAGTGTTCATAATTACCCTCCTTATTCTTTGGGCCTACAAACTCACTCTGGATCCTACAAAGCCATTAGAGGACATGGGGTTCATGGCCGGCTCGATGCCCGACGTCCTGCCATGCACATTTGAGTTTGAGAAGAGGATTCCGGAAACGGAGCTCAGGAGCATGATGCAGCATTATCCTGAGGTAGCATGAGAAGCTTTGATGCCTAGACGGGTTAGGGAGAGAACGAAGAACAAGTTCCCAACGAATCCTCCTCGACTTGCAGTATGGTTTAAATTTGCCTGAGCCAATTCTGATTTGTGCATTATGTAGTTCCTGTCTCAAGGTCCCATTCTATCTGAATCTATCATGTCTTCCCTCATCAAATACAGCTTGTACAGTGATGGCATACTATCATGGAGTCCACGTCTAATGGCTGTTGATATTGATAATTCCGGTTCTATATCGTTCAATTGTAAAACTCAAAGCTCGAGCGTATGAGATTGATACCACGCAGAAAGCGATCAAGACAGCAAGGTTAGGAACATTTGTCTCAATCCATACAACTACTGATTTGTCGTCTATCAGTAAAAGTATGACTCATCGATTCATCTATGACGAAGGGCTGCTGACCATCACGTATGATGTCCGACTCATCCTATGGCAATGAGCTCACCAAGTATTGTTCTGTCACAGTTCAAGTTGATACTCACTCATTCTCTTGTGCGCTTCATCCCGACGATGATAACATTCCAAAGGCACGTCAGGGCACATGAAATCGAGTGGGGTAAAGCCTCCGTCCAAGTCGTCGCCCTGCAACTTCATCATCGACACTTGCTGAAATGACCGCTCAGGCAGCATAAGCCAGAAGAACAGTGCGAGCTCATGGATGTAGTGTACAGGTATATCTATATTAGTTTATGCAGGGCTAAATGATATAGTCAATGTCACACTGGATTCATTACAAGAAGATCATGGCGAAGAGGATACCGGTGACACCGGTGAAGGTTGAAATGCCGAGAGCGACGACACCGCCGCTGCTGGTTGGGGAGGCAGCACCAATTGTGTTCGAGCCAGTCGAAGCAGCAGGGGTCTTGAAGTCAGAGTCGCACACTTCGAAGGTACTGTCTTGGGCATGTTGTACTACAACCCACGCAGCCGTAAATGTCCTTGTAGTAAGGAGACTGTTTGACATTGCTAGAAGCAGAATTGCAGATCGTGATCCAGAAGGCCTTGTCACCATGAAGCTACGGCGCGTGAGAACAGGAACGTGAATTGACTCGAGATCAACAACTTACTTGATCCAGTCGATGGCTTGCTAGTAGGTGTTGTTGTTGTTACCGCCATTGCGTTAGAGTACATCAAACCTGGACGTCGATGAAAGTCAAATCGACTCTAATAGCGATACGGGAAACTCACAAGATCGGCAATGTGTCGTCGCCCGCCATCTCTCTCGTTTCCCGCCGTCTCTGAGGCTTGCTACCCGCCTGCTCTCTCGTCGAGAAGCGGAATCTGTGCAAGCTCGTGCTGTGTTTGTGAGGAGTCAAAGAGGGCGCCAACATCCATTGGCTAGTCACACGGTGGGCGACTCAGATGGGCCCGGAGTACTAGATGGTAGGAACGGACCCATGCCTGGTATAGTACTAGTGCTGCTGCGGTCCGGTTCAGTCCGGTTCAACGGGGGTTGAGCAAGAACCGAGAACCGAACCTGGGTCCGGTTCTACCAGAGTCGACGAACCCTGGACCGAACCTTCGCGAACCGTTCGGAGCGGTCAGGTTCGGTTTTTTTTTGGGTTCGAACGCGAACCGAACCCTAAAATGTCTCAGTGAATTTTTTTTTGTCGAGTCCTCGTCAATCACAAGTGATGTGAACAGAGTTGATGAATGTATTATGGCTCCAGTTTGGTGGTTCATATGTAAGCAATGGCGTGATCGGATTGATGCAATGGAAAATAGATAGATGAAGGTCGCTGACAAGCTTGAGGAACGAACAGCCAGTTGGGAGAGAAGTGACCGATATATTGATGATATCGAGAAACCGGACGTCGAGTTGGAATTGGAAAACTTCGAATATGGGTCTGTAATGCATTGAGCGTTGATAAACTAGGTATCGAGGGAGTACGTGAACGTCATGTTGGACGACGCAAGTGAGTAGAGTGCTGGTGCAGATGGTGTTGGACGTACATAAGTTGAATGATCGCATCCATGCTTGATATACCACAATCCAGCGCTTACATCACCGAAGTGAGATTTCAATCGACCATGGGTGAAGGGGTCGGTCCGGAGGTCGAGCACGGTTTGCGCCAAAAGTCCGGTTCGAACCATGGTTCAGGACCGGACCACGGCAGCACTATTGTGTACTGGCTGGGGAGAGGCGGGCACAACGGCGGGATAGGGTAATCAGCGGATGATGTAAGACAGCGGGCAGATAGACTTTGGGCAGCTGACGCACACTGACCCGGACAAACAACTTTGTTGCGAGTAGGTACCAAAACTTGTTTTCCACTAAGTAGTGCGTGGCAGAGCAATGAGTTGTGTAAATAGGGGTCAAGCAGGAATTAGCCGAAAACTTATGTAAGGTTGCAAGTGAGAAATTGGACGTATCGATCCGACAATTGAATGACTCGGGACTCCACTAATAAGTTACTGATCAATCATAATATCTATTATTACCACGATTCTGCGACTTACCAGTCACCAACTCCGGCGCTATACGCACACTATGGCGAATACCATGGAATTGGTCCAGGTTTGTTCCTCATCGTTCTATGTTAAATTCCCCTCGTTAACAAGGCGGACGCATAACAGACAGGCAAACGCGATCGTCTCATAGAGCTGGAAAAAAAGTATCAAACAAAATGGCAGGAGGATCGTATATTCGAAGTTAATGCCCCTTCACCCGACGAGCTGAAGGGCTTGTCACCGGCCCAAGTCCAGGACAAATACCCCAAGTGGTTTGGCAATTTCCCTTACCCATACATGAACGGCTCTTTACATCTAGGACACGCATTCACCATCTCGAAAATTGAATTTGCTGCCGGATATCAGAGACTATTAGGCAAGCGTGTCTTATTTCCTCATGGTTTGCATGCAACGGGCATGCCGATCAAGGTGACTGATCCCAGACTTTTGAAGATTGTTTATCTGATTTCTGATTTCTTGGACAGGCGGCTGCTGACAAGATAATTCGTGAGATGGAGATGTTCGGCCCCGATTTCGAACGATTCGACGAAGGCGTGCAAGACGATAAACCTATCAAAGCCGCGCCAGACGGCCCAGCTGTGCCTTCAGTAGCAGTCGGGAAAGCTACGAAGGGCAAGATTGCCGCAAAATCTACGGGCTTGACGTACCAGTTCCAAATCATGTTATCAATCGGCGTCCCACGTACAGAGGTCAAGAAATTTGCAGAACCCCATCACTGGCTGGAGCACTTCCCGCCGATCTGTAAGGTGCGCTAATCTCCACTTAAATTTCTAATGTTCTCATTTATGTACTACAGGAGGATAATAACGCTATGGGAAATCGTATCGATTGGAGACGTTCGTTTGTCACAACCGACCTGAACCCTTACTACGATTCCTTCGTTCGATGGCAAATGAATAAACTGCATGCACTGGGCAAAGTCAAGTTCGGGGAGCGATATACGATCTACAGCCCCAAAGATGGACAGCCTTGTATGGACCATGATCGGTCCGACGGTGAAGGTGTCAACCCCCAAGAGTACACTGGCATCAAGATGGAGGTTGTAGAATGGAGTCCAGCTGCGAAGGCCATTGAAGGCAAAGTCAATGGTCGGAAAGTATATTTAGTCGCTGCGACGTTGCGACCCGAAACCATGTAAGTATTTTTATTTTCATCTTAATCATCGTCTCTTAGTCCATCCCGCAGGTATGGTCAAACAAATTGCTTTGTGGGCACGTCCATAAAATATGGTGTCTTCGCGATCAATGATACAGAGGTATTTGTATGCACGTATCGTGCAGCTCGTAACATGGCTTTCCAAGGTCTGTCCCCTGAGCGCGGCCAGACTCAACAGCTGTTGGAGATAGATGGTGCGGCCTTGGTCGGCACAAAGATTAAAGCACCATTTGGATTAGCTCCTGAGGTGTATGTCTTGCCTATGGACAATGTATTGTCCACGAAGGTAAGTTGCTCATCATAGCTTCGTTGACCTTTTTGACATTATCTTAGGGTACTGGTGTCGTCACTTCTGTACCGTCAGATTCTCCCGATGATTTCGCAACCATCAGCGATCTGCGCAAGAAACCCGAATTCTACAAGATCCATCGCGATTGGGTTTCCGTCGATCCGATCCCGGTGCTGACGACTCCGACCTATGGCGAGCTGACTGCGCCCCGCTTGGTTGAGAAGCTGAAGATTCAGTCACAAAAAGACGTCAAGCAGCTGGCAGAGGCGAAGGAAATCGCGTACAAGGAAGGTTTCTACAGTGGAGTGATGTTGGTCGGCGAGTTCAAGGGTCTGTCTGTTCAAGAGGCAAAGCCCAAAGTGCGCGCAAGCATGATCGAACAAGGATTGGCTTTCGCATATGCCGAACCCGAGAACCCTGTCATCTCGCGCAGCGCGGATGAATGCGTTGTCGCCCTGATGGACCAGTGGTATATGGATTACGGTGAACCTGTCTGGAGATCACAAGCCGAGAGGTTCATATTTCGTGTCTCTTCTTTTATTTTGCTTACCATTGGACTTCAGGTTACTGGCAAAGATGGAGACATGGACGGTCGAGACTCGGAACTTGTTCGAGGCCACCTTAGCATGGCTGAATCAGTGGGCGTGTGCTCGGACATACGGCCTGGGGTCCAAATTGCCTTGGGATCCCCAGTTTATGGTCGAAAGCTTAAGTGATTCAACTATCTACATGGCGTACTACACTGTTGCGCATTTGTTGCACGGTAAGTGTTTAGAACGACCTTTTATCATCTCGCTGACCACATTCACTTAGATGGTGACATATTTGGTCGAACACCGGGGCCTCTGGGCGTCAGCGCCGAGCAGATGACGGACGAGGCCTGGGAATATGTCTTCTGCAACGGAGCGTGGCCAAACCCAGAGCCGTTCCCAAGGGAAAAAGCCGACGCGTTGAAGCACGAATTTAATTACTTCTACCCTTTCGATATGCGTTCCTCCGGCAAAGACTTGGTCCAGAATAACCTGACGTTCTTGCTTTACAACCACGCCGCCATCTTTCCTGAAGACAAGTGGCCCAAGGGCATCCGCACGAACGGACATCTGATGCTGAACGGCAAGAAGATGTCGAAGAGCACGGGCAACTCACTGACGCTGAGGGAAGGCGTACTGAAGTTTGGTGCTGATGCAATGCGTTTGTCGTTGGCAGATGCTGGTGATGGTGTAGAAGATGCTAACTTCGATGAAAAAACTGCTAATGCAAACATCCTGCGCTTGCATACGTTGATGACCTGGTGTGAGGTATGCGATTTTCGCTCTCTACTAGACGATGTACTAACGACTTCTTTAGGAAATATTCAAGGACGAGTCTAACCTACGTACTGGTCCCAAGAACTCCTACCATGATCGCGTGTTCGAGGAGGAGATTGTCGACCTGATTAACATTACGAAGAGTCACTACGACGCGTGAGTACCATCCAATAGCTCTTTATCGTGGTCTCATTTGTCTATATTAGAACCGCTTTCAAGGACGCTCTGAAGTTCGGCTTCTACGAGCTGCAGAGCGCCCGTGACTGGTACCGAGAAGTCACCGCCGAAATAGGGATGCACGCAGACTTGGTCAAATATTGGATCCGCGTTGCCACCTTGATGATCACACCCTTTGCTCCTCACTTTGCGGAGCATATCTGGACGGAGGTGTTGAAGGAGCCTCGTTCTGTCCAGCTAGCCATGTGGCCAGACCCAGAGCGTACCGCAGACAGGTCGATTGTTGAGACCGGCGTGTACATGCGTGGAACGCTGAAGACGATCCGTGATGCTGAGCTTACGCTGTTGAAGAGGTTGCAGAAGGGCAAGAAAGGCAAGGGCGGGGAAGATGCGCTGTTCGACCCCAAGAAACCCAAGGCCGTCCGGATTTATGTTGCGACCAAGTTCCCTGAGTGGCAGGAGACGTGCGTGCAGGCTGTCAAGGATTCGTATTCAAGCTCGGATGATAAGGTCGACGACGCGAAAGTGCGCGATATCCTGATAGAGCGAGGGTTGATCAAGGACAAGCGCGCTATGCCGTTCATCCAAGCGTTCAAGGTGAGGGACATATGATTAGCACCCTCTTTTATTGGCTCATCTCATCTGGGAACGCAGAAACGAATGTCAGAAATTGGTGTCGATGCTGCGTTCCGGAGAACATTGTTGTTCTCCGAGTCTGAGATTTTGAAGGAGTTGCTGCCGTATCTGAAAAAGTCTTTGAGCTTGGAAGATGTGGAAGTCTGCTCTGTTGAAGAGGCATTGCAAAGAGAGGGTCATGGTTTTACGCGCACCATCATAGAGTCCTCCGAACCTGGAAGCCCTGCTTTCGAGTATCGCAACGTATAGAGCTGTGTAGAGCTCCTCCATTTGTTCACAAAATACCATCATCGCAATGTACTTACAGGTCAATTGTAGTTTCGTCACGGTTGTAACGACGTAGTCATCAGGGAGGACATCTACTCTTGGGTCGGATGGTGTGCATGTTAGTCATGATCATGCTATCAATCGTGACAGCGCTGGTGCCAGCCCAGGACTCGCTTGTGACTTATCCCTGACATGTTTTGTGTCCATCGAATTAAACGCAAACTAGTTTTTTTAGCGGGAATTTTGCGTTGGCAAATGTCTGCTAATCCCACGTACGTGATCCTACTGTAAATGCATGATTTTCTTCGACTCGTAGATGTCCATCTTGACCAGTCTTCCTAGGATCGATCATCGGTGAGTTGGTGAGAAACGTACAATCCAGATACTTTTAAATTTTGGGGTAGATAAGACTGGGGTATGTACACAAAAAGTGGGGTCGTAACAAGTATGGTGCGAAACAGTCCGCAAAAGCACTCCGTACAGAAGAGAGACATATGGAGCAACAAACAGAGATTCAGCAGATAACTTTATCATTGATGTGAGGTGGGACGACCACAACTAAAGAACAATCCGCAACACCTAACTTCACAGGAAACTTCTCCCAGCCCATCACTTGCTCCTTGCGTTACCGTCGGCCGTCCTTGAGACACTTGTGTCTTCGACACAGCTTGAGGTTGACCTGGTTGCGCTGAACTGCCGGCTTCATTGTCATTCTTAGGTTGCATGGCTGCAGCCAATTCTGCCGCAGTGGGAGGGGAAATGGCAATTCTCTGCAAACGGATTAATTTCAATGACATCAAAAAGGAGGATTGGAAGACACTTACACTTTTCTTTTGACCGGCAGCTACATCGACGGTGGGTATAGAGCTTCCTACTGGAAATAAGTTGAAATTCCAACGCCGGGGCTGCTGTGGTATTGACTGTGGCACATTTGCATGCCGAATGCTGAAGCGCAGCGAGCCGAGCAAATTACGCCAACGAAGGGCAGACGATGAGTTCGCAGGGGAAGTTGCGTGACTACGCGTGGGATCGGTATCAGTGTCCCAGAAGTCCTTGCCCTGTATCAGTGTCAGACTTACAAGAACACAGTACCGAAAATTATACTGACATATGTCGCCAAGCCTTTGTTGTTGGGGTGCTGCTAGGAGACGAATAAGCAAAGGATGAGGTTGATTGCAATGGATTGGCGTACATGTCTCAGTCGAGCCGGACGTCCCTAGTAAAAAGTGAGATACAGCGCGAATGGGAAGCACAGACAACTTGCCTTGAGATTCACATAGGGTTCTGCATTGCTCTCGTCAGCACTCTGTATGTATCAAAGTCAGCTTAGACAAGATACCAACAACACGTAAGCACGCTCACATTATCATCATAACCCTGCTGTTTCAGCGCCGCCTCCATGCTCCATACATAGATCTTTGTATCCAATCCACCACTGACAATATACTTTCCATCAGGGGAAATGGTAAGAGCCAAGACTCCGTTGTCGTGCAAGAGCGGGTCTCCGACTGGCTGATTGGTCTCGAGATCCCAGATGCGGACTGAGCAGTCACCTGATGCACTGACAAGATGACGTTCATCAGGGGAAAGACAGAGGGATTCGACGGCATAGGTATGACCTCGAAAAACAATAAGCTCCTTCCCATCAATTGACCCCCATTTTCGGATGGTGTTATCATACGACGCGGAAAAAAAGTGTGCACCATCCTTGGACCAACACAGCGACATCACATCGTGGTCATGGCCCTTGATCTCCATGAGCAACTTCCCGTCCTTCGACCACACGCAGACCGACTTGTCCCCCCCGCCGCTGATGAATTTGTTGTCTTGTGGAGAGTATTTCACAGCATAAACATAACCATGACTGGTCTCTATCGGTCGTGCAATTTTTTGGCCAGTATCCGGATTCCAACGTCGTATGGTCCCGTCTTCCGATCCACTTGCTATCTCCAGGGCATTGGGAGACCAATTAAGGCAGGTCACTGAACGGTCATGTCCCTCCCATGGATCGCCAACCATCCTCCCCTCCTCTATATTCCACAGCCGTAGCCTACCATCTGCGCTTCCAGATACGACCAATGTTTCGTCTGGAGACATTGCCATTGAGACTACCTCTTGGTCACTATTCCAGGGCCTCCCCGCTGGCTCTCCGTTTCTTGTCCACTGACGAATTGAACCATCATCCGACGTGCTTGTTAAAATGCAACTAGCGCCCGAACAGGTAATGTCCCGGATAATTTTGGAATGGCCCTCAATGACGCACTCCGGCATCAAGCTCCCTGGTGCACGTTCTGGCATTGGTTTCTTCCACGATGTGGTCCAGGTATTGTGGTTGATGAAGTACGACCGACCGAATGGTGAGATGTGCCATTCACATCCATGAACGAGTTGTCCGGGAGAATCTATGTTTCACCATGAGTTCCGCACTCCTAGTGGTACATTCTTCGCTGACCTAGTCGCACTCCTGGTAGAGGCCGGTTCCTGGAAGCCATCATGAGTGCATCATCCTGATATGAAACTGAACCATCGAGTTCCTTGTACTGCCACCACTGAGGAGGAGACGCTTCGTCCCCGCCTGTTTCTCATGTAGTAAGTTGGAAGGCATCACAACACGGTTACTCGCCTTCCCAAAGTGCATCCTGGCGGTACTGTGCACCATAGCGTGGCGGATTCAGACGTCCCTGCCTGCTGCCACTGACCGGATCGGGTGTCGGACTCAGTCGATTCGGGCCATATGCCCGGCGAGGATACATTCTCTCTCGTCCCGCTCGCCTCTTGATCGCAAGATCGGGTTCTGGCGAATCTAGTTCCAGACGTGTTGCATTTCGTATTTGTTTCGCTTGTGCATAAATTCTTGGTTTTCCCTTCCCCATGACGCTGATTAAGAAAGTTTTGGGACGAAACAGCAGATAATATGCAAACTGAAGAACGGCGAGAGATGGTGGAAGTAATGAAGAAACCTGCGCTGTACATGCTGTATTGCAGGCATATTTTCATCCATGGCAGTGTTTCGAATGTTGGGGCAGTTCTACAATAGACTTCCGTATATTCGTCAGCGAGCGTCAAGATATGACTGGAAGATTGAATAGAAAGCCCATTGCAATTCTTGTAATTCAGCGGTAGTATATGACACATATAGTCACGTCAGTTCTGGGCACACCGTGATAACTTGTGGACACGACGACAAGGTTAATCTTGACTTTGACGGTCCTCTACTTAGTAATGGCCTAATATTGGCGGGTGCCGGTGATGCCATCGAGTGTTAGAAGATGGCGTTGTTGTAGGTCAATTTGTGACTCAGCATACACGTGAAAGAAGCCACAGCAATATTAATGTCACCTGTATGCATACAGCCTCACACAGCTGTACATGTACACCACTACACCTGTGACTCCCACGTATTGCCTCTAATTAGACGTGATTATAGATAGGGCTAACACGTCTAAAACGACAGAGTTCCAGCGTTTCCAAGCCTCCTTCAATAACTCTTGGATAAAGAGTGACTTATAATAACAGCAAGCAACTTGAACTGTGGCCTAGCTAGGTAAGCCAGCGTGGGACGTCGGCGTTAACGTAGGTAATGTTCCTGGCATCGGCTATCTTGCGCCTGCCGTGTGAACCTTCGTGCTCGCTGTCATACACGACGAGCTCGATAAATCAAACATATCGGAGGCGCGTTTTGATACTTAACAGTAAGCATAATAAAAGAAGTGCGTTGCAACAGTATGACGGATAAACTAGACTACTCCTCTACTTCACCATTGTCAACAACCTGGAGCTGTGAGAAGTCAGCGGTGATGGTGATAATGTCCTGCAAACTCCTCGAGGCTTCTTCTGCGACCTCCTCTGCGATCTCCTCCTCATCTAAATCCTCTTGAGTATCCGCACCTATAGGGGATGAAGGGTTGTGTGCAGGTATATGGGCAGCAAACACGTTGGCGGGAATCAGAGGATCTGGCATGCTGGCACTCTCCCCGATACCGGTGCAAGCACTTAGACCAGGGACGAGTGTACCATTGAAGCCGGGAAGCTTTGAGATATCATTGAGCCGCTTGATATGGCGGGAGTTGAACCGGCCACGAATGTTCCGATGTATAGCGATTGATGGGCAAGGGCAGGGGTTAGCAACTGTGAGTCGATCTTCGCACACCCGCAAATACTTATCTTCATCTCGTATATATGTCACTAGACAGCGAACCTCGATATTCAGAACGACAAATCTCCTCGCGTGCTCGACACATTTAAAATAAAGATCCATCCCACTCCGAGCTGCTGGTGATGACCAAGGTAATTGAGAGACATCGGAGCGCGTCTTTCGTAGCAGCTCGAAGTCAGCGAGGAAAGGCGTACTCGACAACATCCTCCCACTTGAGTATTTGCCGGGGAGGGTACACCGCACTGGCAAGGTTGTTGTATGTGTTGAGGGCGGACACTGATGGCGGGCAGAGCGCGTCTGCAAGGCCCTCGCAATATGTTTTCGCAGTTTGTAACCTTGAAACATAGATAGAGTTAGCTGAAACAAGCCAAACTAGACTCAAACTCACCTGTCCCCGCCCTATTCATCTTCGCAAGTTCGAAAAATGCGAGCCACGACCAAACCTTCACAAACGGTCCAAGGCACGTTGATACTTTCTATTAGCTACGAGTCTCCCTGCCTTCTGCCATTCTTCATCTTCTGGAACCCAGCGAGCGATGATACCGAGTTTGCATTCTAATAACTGAACCAACTTCAGGTTTCTCTCATAGTCCTCGAGAGCGTGGCGCCGCGTGCTTTCAACCTTGCGTGTGTTTCCAATGTCTGCGCCGTATGATGGAGTATTGTGCGTTCCGAACATGTTCATTCCTGCGTCAAGAGCAACTCTGTTTTTTGGGGGCTTCAGTAACTACGAGATACATACACCAAAAGGTAAAACTTACTTGCTTGCACTAAGATTGACTAATCTCTGCCAGTACTCCATTTGAAGTGTCTCTTCTTCAGGCTCTCGTGTTAGACCCTTAAGGTAGATTTTCTCGTCTTCGAGCCAACATTCAAAGACGCTCTCGTCTTCGACTTTGAGCTCTTGCATAACCTTCGGTAGGACAGCTTCGCCATTGGCGATGATCTCGAGAGCTTGTTGTAGTTACCATGCAAGAAATTTGCTAGCCAACCAATAGTTATGTCAGCGAGCGCTTATGATAAACAGAACAACATACAAAGATTGCCATATACCTCGAGCTCGTCGTTATGCTCGAAATATGAATCGATAGCCTGTTGACGATGGAAAACGCTAGTATAGAAACGTAGAGAGCCGATGCAAGGGAGTTTGACTTGGAGAACGTCCGCTCACAAGTCTCCAGATCTTCGATACCAATTGCCTTGATTGTAAGTTGTTAATGAAAAAAGCTGACATAACCGCCTGTGCGCATGTCCGTGAAACGCGCCAACCAGGCAACTATGACGTAATGAGCGCGCCAGGGGACCAAGAGAGCTGTTGTCAAGAGTAGTCTGAAACTGACAGCCGATGTCATAGCCCACCGCCCAAATCGTCGCCAAATGCATCTAGCAGCTTGGCAACAATAGCCAAGGGGTATTTGCACTGTTAGAATACCTGTTAGAAATATAAAACAAAAAGACTAAGTACTACTCACCGCTCCCCGCTCTGCACCATGTCTGCGATAAGTAAACAAAAGCCGTGGCGGCATACGGCGACGAAGACACCAGTTTCGTCATAAATACCCCAAGCTTTTTTTGTCTTCGCATCGTCCATATTTTTCCACCGGCCTTCGCATGAGTTCTCTGCCAGACTCTGACTGTGTTAGTTGTCTCTACAAAAGGTACGCATCAATTACTCACATTGGCTCCCGTATCACATGGCGTATCCTGTGCAAACTGCTCTACAAAGTTACGAGATAGGTTAACGGTCACTAACGAGTACCTGGCCAGTGGGAAGTTCGGACGATAGACCAAGAGAGTCATCGTCGTCATCAAGCGAGCGTCGCAGAATTCGTTTCAATGAGTCGTTCCCGTCCATAGCATAGAGAATCTTGAAGTGTAGCTTCTCTTCGTCAGTTAGCGTGTAAGTGCATGCAGGGCAATGCATGTTTGAGGCGCCAGTCAGGCGAGTCGCGTCGGAGGGATTTGTTGATGAGCGAGGCCACAACCCGTCTGATTTGAAGATATATGTCAAGTGCAATTGAAAATTGATGTGAGATGTTGCCGATGGAATTCCACCTGTAGTATGTGTATGTGTTTTAGCATGGAGCACAATAGAACTTAAAATCGTACCCCGTGTAAATCGGCATATCGTTTTGACAAAGGCTTGGATTGACAAGTGAGGGTTCCTGAGGTGCGCCACCCGATATAACTCAAGGGCTTCTAATGTTATGCCCGCCACCGGTGATATCGGGGAGCAGGGCATGACGCCTTGACGAACAAGTGCAGAAGCAATTGTACGGTCCGTCGATGATATTTTCAGTACAAATTTCTCAGCAACTTTTACAAATGATGTGATAAACACAAACACCGAAACTAGCAAGTAACTCACAGAACGCGTCTACTACTGTCACTGGCCATTGGCCACCATTCAAATCGGTCACCTCAGTCTCTTCGCTGCGTAGGCGATCATAAAAACTCTTGAAGCCCTTTTGTGATTTCTCCAGGCTCCATATAAGGTATGATTCGCTCATTATTTGTATTTGCTCGTTGAAAGCAAGATTTCTTCGCAGAACACGATCACGCCGTGTGCGATTGTCGACACGTTGAACCCTGTGAGCACCATCTTGATCCTTTCTGATGTGCGTGTCAGTTGCTGACTATCTGCTAACATGCACTCACAATTTCCAGACCTCACCCAGAACACCTCTCGCCAGGTCTCTGAACTCTCCGCCAGCGTGGCTAATGGGGAGTGCATCAGTACCATCCCAGATGTCGCCGAGATTGAAATCATCGGAGTCCTCAGCAATGTTAGGTGGGTTAGTTGGTGGGTCTCTGAGAGCTTCCAGAGCTTGGCGCTCCTCGGTTGTCATTGCTATAAACCAGGTTAGTGTTCTGGTTGTTTTTTGAGCACTTGGACCAGGCTTACCTTGTAGGCGAGTCTCCCGCCGCTGTTTACAGCTGGCTGCTTGCAGAACCAACACTCTATGTTTGATCACCTTCGATACACGGTTAGTGGAGCCCATCCTTATCTCGCGAGGAGCCTATGTGGCGGATAGACCGCAAAGACAGGTTAGTGCGAACTCGTTGTGTCTGACGTCCTCCTGGATTCCGCATTTTTTTTCTTTCATACAAGCCAGCTATGGGTACATTTTTTGCACATTGAGCTGTGTGTGACTAATCATAAACGTTATTAGTGCACATTTCCATCAATTCCCCCTCATTCAATTAACCATTTCCTTAAGTGTCTTATATCCACCATGTCACGCACTCCCTCACCATCCATTTTCTTGCCACGATGATCACGTCCGGGACTTATGTCAGTTGGTTGAAAGCTTAACCGTATCAGGTGGGTCGCAGGTCTATATCATCTGACAATCACCCGCATGCTCACGCTCTCAAACAGGTTCATCGTTGGATACTATTAGCTGGAAGCGCAAGACTGTTGAAGAGAGTATCACCCTTTCCAAAGCATCACACACCAACTCCTCGCATGTCAATCAAACCATCCCAAACTCCGATCTATCTACTAGCTCCCGCGCACAAGACCATCTGCCGCCTTCGAGTTCATCATCACATGCGCAACATTCTACGAATGTCGCACTTCTTCCAATGCAGGTACCAAAACCTAGCGATATCGCACCCCCACATGCTGGTTTAGAACCTGAAGGGTTCTGGTTAATTACCGTCGGCCAAGAAGTAGGCATCTTCTATCACTGGTAAGCATTGCCGACCTCTCACTTATAATAATATTGACACTCATATAAGGGCTGACGTGGCTGAACGCACCAACTTTGTGAGCGGTAACGTTCAGAAGCGGTACCCCTCGTTCCAGAAGGCACTCGAGGTATATACAGTACAATATAATGAAGGTAGAGTACGAGCAGTACCAACCCCGGGTGGCCCTTTCTGGCTGCCTGCATCCCCACCTTCCCCCTCTTGGTCCGCTGACTCGGATGACTTGTGGTCGCAGGTAGACGACTTATCGGAGACAATGACACACTATGAACTTTAGATACCTTCGTAGTAGTTCACTATCTCAGCCGTGTACATATACATGACTTGCTTGTAATTCCTTAGCAATGGAATCTTTATGCTCGGATCACAAAATGTGCTAGCTACTATGCGTGATTACAAAATTGATGCAGATGTGCAACTGTGATTGAACGACATTGGACTGCATAGTTGCATTACCTTAATAGTCTGCATGTATCCCGCAAGTGTAATTAGCGATTAGCCAGTGATATACAAGAGTCATAGTCCTAAATCGAGGTCCACTGCACTCACCACACATTCAGTATAACAGATGACCTAACCTTGGACGCAGTTGGTGGTTTAGAATTCTATGGTAGTGCAACATGCTAGAGATACAATGACATTCGCTATGTGTTCGCCATCAATTCGCCATGCGTTTGATATCAATTCACTATGTGTTCGCTATAATGTAAGGATTCTGGTATGTGTTCACCATCAATTCGCTATGTTTGATATCAATTCGCTATGGATTCACTATAATCGCTCGACATATCATATAGTCAAACTACTTATTTTTACTGTTAGCTACCTTAACTTCGAAGAATTTGACCTCCAAAACAATACAAATGAGCAAATCATGCAGTAGAATAATATCATGTTTGAGGCGCTCCCTGCAATACGGGCAGCTGGTATGTACAATGTTTTGCACACATTCGAGAAGTCCCCTCCCCTCACAAGCATGCGCACCACATTCGTCAAGAAAAATGATAGTCTCTAGTCCTCCCTTCTTTTGCGCACCTTTGAGTAGGTTTTCATACGCATCATCCCATGCATGTTCAGACTTCCGGGCCCATCCCTTTTGCCACTGGTTGGCCATGTTCTCAATGTCTTGCAGGGTTGGCGTGTCGCAGGAACAGGGAAAGTCATTCTCCATAGTCAGTAGAGATCCATCATCGACCTCAGGAGTGATATCGCGAGAATTGAGACCGTCGAGCACGGGCGAACTGACCAAAGGGATGTGTATAGTTGGCTCTGCAGGGGCATGTATTTTTTTAAGGCTATGAGTGCAGTCAGCAAGAGTAAGAGACGGAATAAACAAAAGTGATTTGACCTGGCCCGCTTGCTGAAAAAATGTATTTAAGCACGAAATTTTGATTTGAGAATGAGAGCCGGACTGACCTCGCCATCCGAACGCGTGCCTTTGCATTTTGCGTGTCTCGAACTCTGAAATAGCAGGGAAGTACAATCTCAGTGTCAGTCAAAGGCGAAAGCTTACCCTGGCTTCTCAAGCCAACGCTTGGTAGCCATGCGCTGCCTGCTCAGAGTAACAGCAGGATTAGCCTTAGAATGTATGTGAATATTATACAACTGTGAGCAGACTGTGAGTCCCAAAATCGAGACTTACCATAGATTTGAGGGGAAAAAAACGGTTCGTGAGATTTTCCTTGATCTGATATTAATGCCCTTACCTTGGGATTCCCCCTCGTACATTATGTAGAATGTTAATGAGACAGCGATCACCCCCATTGAATCAATGTCATACGTGGAACTATCCGGGACCGAACACCATCAGGATTCAAGTCAGGATCGCGACAAGGTCATCCCAGCAGAGATGTGCATTATCGCCCTCGATCAACGTTATACACTACTGGTATACAAGTTGGACCAAGGGATTGCGACAAGGTCATCCCAGCAGAGATGTGTGTTATCGCTCCCAATCAACATTATACACCATTGGTATTCAAGTTGGATCAAGGGATTGTGACAAGGTCATCCCAGCAGAGATGTGTGTTATCGCCCCCAATCAATGTTATACACCATCGGCATTCAAGTTGGATCAAGGGATTGCGACAAGGTCATCCCAGCAGAGATGTCCCCCATCAGAAAACTTCCTCCCGAAATTACAAAGTTGCCGCTGTGCAACCGAGGAAGCTGACAACAACCCCATCTGAATGTTCCAGACCTCGTCCTACTCCATTGGCGTGATTCTTAGGTTCTCAAGGCAAGCATTTTTTCTATTCGAGTTGTTCTATTATTGACTCTGATATGCTTTTTTGTAGGGTTTCAATGATCGACTGCCATGGCGTCATCGATCCCATAGGTATGCTTTTCAGGTTCCTGAAGCAAGCACATTGTTTTTTTAATCGCATCCCCACAACGACACTCCCTCCTACCCACACAGACAACTATGAGCTACATTTTCTCTGAAGATGACTTTAATACCAATGGAAATTTCATCAACGGCGGAGGACCTGAATATCTCGCAGGGTTGCTCAATGAAAATGAAGGTGCAGTGTTATTTATGTGCATCTCCCACTCTTTGTATTGACCTTTGAAAAAAACAGGATCGAGCCATACACCCCAACTTTGGCACGGTATCGATTGGGAAGACCCATCATTATACTCGATGCCACTGACAAGTGATGAGTTAGCATTCCTCAATGATGGCCCGGCCCTTCCACAGCCTCCTACTCCCGTCATCTCTCATTTTTCACCTGACGCACGTGAACTCACACCTTCCTCTCGCGCAATCGCCTGGTGGTGAAGAGTCATTGTCAGAGCCCCTCCGTGATGCAAATTCATCCACCTGGGCAGCGCGAAACCCAACACGTCCCATGATCCATCGCCGGACCCCACCGCCTCGGCTATCAGATGCCCAGAAGGCCTCTCGGAAAATCAAGAAAGACCAGAGGACAGAAATTACGAAGCATCTACACGATGCTGTTGCCAAACATCTGCAAGAACAGAAAAACGGAGTTGAATTGCTCTCACTCGCTCACAATGTTACTCCCAAACAGATCAACGACATAATCAGTCATCAGACCAAGTATTGCACGGCGCGCAAGGTTCACCTCAATAACGCCTTAATTCATGCCAAAGCTAAGGAAATGAACAGCGGTACGCAAAATTCCTTTGCTTGCTCTTGTTCTCATACTCATATTCTGTTGCAACAAGGCCAGCCTAATGGCCTTCGGTACACATTGGTCGAGCTGCGCGAGATGGTTGCTCAGGACCCCCAGATGCAAGATTTGACGAAGGGTGAAAAGGCCACTTATATAGCTGCTCTCAGTCAACACCGTGAACAAAAGGTAAGTAGCGTGCGAGCAAATAACATGGCTACTGCGCGAGATGTTTTAGTCACGACGGAAAGGGTGGTCAAGGAGGTGAGCTCTCCGCCTGTCACATGTATTCTACTGAACTTATTTTCACTTCGAAGCTCGATGATTTGCGTATTCGCACAGGCACCTACGGGACTCTATTTGTCGTTCGGGGTCACATTAATGACACTATTCAAAGCACAATGCACGGTACTGACAATTCTGAAGACTTCTGGGAGGACGTTTACGACTCTCCAATGGCTGATTTTCTCCGACAATACGAACAATGGGCCTGCACGCAGAATCAAAGTAAGTCATCTGGCTCCTCACAGTGATATCTTATTCTTATTCAGTCTTTTTCAGATCTCAATGAACGAGACTCTTTGGAAACAGTCCGCAAGCAAGCTCGAAAATTGATTGTCCGAGGACTGGGTATGTGACAGTAGTGTGCATGAGTGCTGTCTGACATCTTTACAGTTGCAATGACTGGCAAAAGAGACATCACGATGAACTACAACAACTACGAGACGGCGATTATCGAAACGTATGCGGTCAAGCTAGTAGGATGGCCCCAGGGTATCAAATTTACCAGTCCCTCAAACATCGGGACAGTCGGTGAAATTCGCAAGCTCCGCGATGCGCTCAAGGACCAAACATGTTACTGGGCTGCTCTCACTCCAGCCGAAGTCAAGGTTCACAGTGCTGAACTTGATGCGCGGTTCGGCGGGGCAAGTTGTTCGGCAGCCACGCAAGAAGCGCTCCGATGCTGGAATCACTCGCAAGCGCAAGGCTCCACCTACCACAGGACAGGCACACAAAGAGAACAGAAGGCCGTCAAAGAAGGTGAAAAAGAATACTAGTGCCCAGCATCGTGAGGCCCCTAAAAGTGCGGAGTTCATTGAGTCGTCTGATGAGGAAGAGGACGAGGGCGAGTAGTACACCCTGCTACTCTTTTATGTATATTCTGAGGATCTGTACATATCTGAATGATTAGTAGCTGTCACTGTAAAAAACGCGCCACCAATGTGTAAAAACGCGCTGTCAATATGCATGGTTTAAGGAGCTCGTCGTGTACGACGGTGGGCACGAAGGTTCACATGGCGGGAGCATGATAGCCGAAGCCAGGAACATTAATGCCGACGTCCCGCTTAGTTACCTAGAACTACTGTTATTATAAGTCACTCTTTATCCAAGAGTTATTGAAGGAGGCTTGGAAACGCTGGAACTCTGTCGTTTTAGACGTGCTAGCCCTATCTATAATCACGTCTAATTAGAGGCAATACGTGGGAGTCACAGGTGTGCATAATACCATCGAAGAACGTTGCAACTTGCAAGTGGCAAGCGAGCATGGAAGTACTAGGGCGTAGTTCGTACTAGTTTGGGTAACAGGCGAGCAGTGGTGGCCAAATCAAGATGGGCCCGCCTCGACCGCATTTCAGTTACGTTAGTGCATATGAAGCAATAATAAAATTATTAACTGGCGGCTAAAGTTGAAGATGTCCTCGAGACCGGGTTCAAACTACACTGGCGGCTGGCCGTGGGAAAAGTGCCAGTAAAGTGAATTTGAGTATCACACTCAACCACTCAACGTCGCACTTCAAATTTCAGATTCAATAACAGGAGGCCAGCGGTTCGTTTTTGCACCCAATCAAGTCTGGAACTTTCATATGTTACAGCTATTCTAGGCTAACCCTTGCTGCAACAAACCATCTTGGTAGCGCTGACTTCGTGAAGTGAAATGAAGCGCACTTCGACTAACTTTGTTTACAACGAAGTCTACTGAAGTGTATCTAATTTTTGCTTCGATTCGCTTCAGCTTGCTTCGCGGCAACAATGCATAGTAAGAGTAATGATGGGAACTATTTTAAGCAATCATTTAACAATTGGACTCGCGTGTTCCTATCTATACATCCACGAGTTCAGCAAACGGAGTTCCCCTAGGGTCATGGCTAAAGATTCCTTACAGTACTCTCTGTCGATGCAGTTGACAACCATGACGAGGAGAATTCACTTGGTGATGCAGAAAGGTTCCGTACTGAGCCTCGTCCCAAGTTGCATATCCTTCGCGTGTGGCCTATGCTGAGCCATGGCGCGTTGATATGCACATCAATGCTCTTTTTCGCGTTATGGATGGACACACCTTCTCCACACCTGCATGACGATATTCCTGTATACTGTGAGTGAACAGACATCCTCGGACAGTTAACGTATAGCGTTGATGATGTGTCACAGCTCCAGCAATTGGTGCTGTTGAGTCCGTGATCGTAAGATTCAATGGAACACTCGACTTTCCTTCCATCTATCGTGGCCCTCCTTCCCCAGAAATTGATGCCGCTTGGGCCAGGATCGCTCACGATGGTGCGTCGTCCAATTTTTTTTTGTCATCTTAATTAGTAATTGTTCACGTCCATGAAACCTCAGTGCTACCACTCGAATGTCGCTTGAGGAAATTCTCAAAGCCGGCGAAGTAGATTCACCTTCCAAGGTCAAAATATCCACCCAAATTTGGTGGGGGTTTCATGGTATCCATGGAAGCCCCTCACCAACTCCATTGTCTAGTAAGTTATACTACACCGAAAGTCTAGTCGTTCTTGCCTCACGTTTCGTAGAATTTACTTCGCAAAGCCTCGTGGCCCGAGTAGTATTACGGATCCACAGAAAACTTCGTTCCAGGACACGCCCAAAGTATTCCGCATGTATCTTGGTACATTGTTTTTTTATTGATGTACCTCCTGCTTATCATATACACAGATCATTGCATTGAAATGATCAGGCAGAATATCATGTGTAATGTCGACGTGATGATGATAACATGGGACTGGGTTCAAGGACACAAAGTCCCATTCCCTAATTTCAACACCCGCCACCAATGCAGGAACTACGAGAAAATTGGATTGGGCTGTCAAGCACGCTGTTCATATCGATAAATCCGAGGTCACTCGCTTCGAAGATACGGTTGACCTTCCCCTACCCTCCGATCTGATGCACCATAACGTATAAGGAATATCGTGCTGCTCACTCACTACATACTACATTTACGAGTATCTTGCAAGAACGACAATAATTAAGAGCTTAGTCTGTATTTAGTGCCATCAATGACATAGGAACATATCGTTTCGGCCACGGGATATGATGTTTGTTCTCGTCTGGAGTCGCTAGGCTGAAAAGGGGACTTATCTAGTACGTCAGGTAGCGGGGGCCCTGTCACACAGCTAACTCTTCCGAGTCGTGAACATATATAGATCTTGATAACAACAATTGCACAATTTGCAATGAATTCGGCTCCAAGATCTGCTTCTGATTGCAGGGGTAAACCTTTTGTGATGCGGAGAACTTGATGGGGAAACCTCTAGCTAGGCTCTAATAGGTCAACTTCATAATTGATGGTGACTCGAAATCATTAGTTACCGGTGTCCCATGGAAGTAAATCATAGCCGTGTCAATTCCGTTGAAAGATATATGAAGACTGTTTCATATTGTCCTTTAATGGCTTTGCTGTCAGACCTGAGTCTCAAATCGACTCGGGCGCGACTCAAACAACAACAAAGATCTAGATGCTGAAAGACTTGGCCATTTAGGAGTACTGATATATAACCGGCACTAAAAAGAATGATGGCCACTGGGGGCCAGCTCAGAAAAAGGAAGATGTCATGTTCGCATCAAGTGACTTGCCTTCGAATGAATTGAGCCTATATTGGTAGTATGGCTAAACCTTGTCAGGCATAGTAGTATTCCTAACAAATCAACAAAGGATTCCTAAAGGGTCTGCCCAAATGATTTACGAGAGGACGACAGTACGGCGTAAGGTCAAGACACATTTAGAATTGAGTGGCACTCAACCGAACTCCCAAAGCGAAGCGAAGTTAGCTAGTCCTGAGGGCTTCCAACTGTACGACTTGTCCCAAGTGCATCTTGAGTGTCTTGAAACTCTACCAACTTCAATTCCATTTCTTGCACAGCTATGCGTAAGAAATATTCTGCATATATCTCTTGTCGACGGGAGTCGACGATCGTGACGATACGAATTTCTTGATAGCAATACAGAAACAAGGCATCTCCAGAATCCCGTCTCTTCGCTGGTCACCATGGCTAAGCCATGGTGTGCTGATATCCATAACCATGGTGTTCTTCGTGCTATGGGTCCGGGCGCCGTCGATCGATGACGTAGTTCTGTACTGTAGGTGGACGGATAGCGTTAACACACAGAATATTGCTTACTCGTCGCAGCTCCAGTAAACGAGGTGATTGAATCCATCGGCATTATAAGATTCAATGAACTCTGGACGCCCCTTCTATATATCGTGGCAGCCCGTCTCCAGAAATTGACGCGCTTGGGATAGGATATCTCGTGATGGTTGCACC